AATGGTTATCTCATCCACTTTTTTTTCCATTATTTGCAATTACTTAACTCTCCATCTTTCTCTTTGTTTTTCCCTCTAATGGGAAAGTGGCTAAATATTTTGCTAATTAGCAAAGAAGTTAGTTGTGATGTAGTAATCTTTCATCCATGTTTAGAGTTTTAACACAATTATAAATTATTATTGATCTTTTAATTAATACGATCAAATTTTGTTTATCAATCTAAAATTACCAATTAATTTAAAGATTTAATTTTGTCGAAAATAGATGACTTGTGTGTTTGGATATTGAAAAGAAAAAAAAAGAGAAATTTTGGAAAGTTAGAAATACAAAAGCATAAAAAGATTTATGTTAGTAGATATATATTGCATATATATCATATGAACCTTGAAGCTAAAGTTTGGGTTTGATTACCAAGTCATAGGGGGGGGGGGGGGGAGATTTTAGAGAAGATAACTCGGTGGAAGGGGACACTTTGATTGGAACAATTAAGTCAATAAGCACAAAAAGCCAAGTGGAAAGGTCAACAAGGAGAGACGTATTCCTTGTGGACTCCCCCTCTCCATTCCATTTCCACAAGAAAGAATATTATCCCAAAAATAATAACACTTTGTTAGGCAAACGTCACCTTCAAACCCACCCATCTCAGCTTACTTGAAGAATTTTTTTAAAATTATTTTTTAAATTTTTGATATGCACACTATTTCTCCCATCTAATGGTTGATAATGTTACCTTTATGTCGTCTTCACTCATAATAAAGAGGGGAACATGAAATCCGTGAATCTCGCGTAACCAAAGCTATCCCATGGATGGTTTTGCTAAAGAAAAAAAAAATTAAGAATACCCATTTAAAATTAAAATGAAAAATTCAATTTTATTATTTCATAAAAAAGCATCTTTTCGTTTTCAGTCTTATAGCTAGCTTGCCATTGCCTCTCAATTTCCCTTCTTTCACTTCTAAAAAGCCGATGGATTAGATGCTTTTCTTCCTATTAATGACACATGACTTGGAACTTTGGCTAAACCAAATCATAAGTTCTTCCCCCTCCCCCCCAAAAGAAATGCTAAAAGAAGTGAGATGGGATCGATTATTCCAATCTTGCAGCTTGAAATGAGTGACCTCTCTTAATCATGGCATTTGCTTTGTAGAAGCAATAATTTTCTTTCTTTTTTTTTTTTTCTCTTTTTTGGGTTGAAGAATCTTTAGGTGTGAGCGACACCGCATGGGATTTGGTTTTATGCTATATTGTAAGAAGAATGAATGATATTTGTAGTATAAATAATATTCTTTTGATGGCTTGTTCTATCGAAAGACAAAGAATATATATAGTGCATGTTCATCTAGCTATAGAGGAGCCCTTGTCAATAGAAATTCTTTAATTTGTTTGTTCTTTAAAAAAAAAAGAAGAGAAAAACCCTTAGTTTTAGAGTAGTTTGGCAACAAGTGGATGGATTCTAGACATAAAAGATTAGTTGGGGGACCCTTTTTGTATTAGATTTGATGTATCAAGCAAAAGCATTGAGCACAATCACTAATCACATTAAAAATTAAAATTCATTAAGCAATTTTTTTGATAACCCCTTTTCTTTTACATTTTTTAATCATAATTTTTTAGATAAAATCTAAGATAAATAAATTTTTTAATCTTTTAAAAAGATAAAAAAAAATGTATTATGACCCGTATATGTTCCGTATTCAATATTAGCACTAATAAAAGATTGTCAGAATCGAAATTCAAAATCACTTGCATCCAAATAATTGAACCTAATACTTTGTTAGTTATCTATCAATCAGTTATAGGATTCCATGTCATGTATGGCATTTAGGTTTTCTTTTTTGTTTAATTTATTTTTAACGCTTTACATTGCATTTGCAAGATTTTCCACACGTTGAATTCTTTTGTTCTAATTTGAATTTGGGCTAGTTTGTTTTAATTTTTGCTAAATGCCGTAATCTAAAACTAAAAACTTTGGTACGTGGGAAGGTTCCTCATTTTTTTGTCTTGTTTACATATAGCCATATAGGAGAGCACCATGCTTGGTTGTGTGCAAATTCTTTATACTCGGAATTTTTTTTTGGAATTATATATAAAATGAAGTAATCATTAATCGAATATTTCCTCCTTTACCATTTTTATCTTATTTATTGACCAATTTCTTCTTTTTTAACTGTTGTCTTGAATTAGAAATAGCTGTTTGTAGACAAAGCCTGTGGACAAAGGTAAATCGTCATGAGACAAAGATTTAACATTTCCCAAACAAAACATAACAAAGTTTGACATTACTTCATTCCCTTTTGCTTCCAACCTTAATTTTTTTTTCTACTATTTGTCACTTTCTTTTTATGATATATATCAATCACTGTAACATGCTACAATTGTGTTATTTACTTTAGGTTAAACTCAAATTATTTTGTTAAAGTTAGGACAATCTTTCACATAAAGTTTAAAAAGGTTACATGCAAATGAGTATGTCTTGAATATAAGCAAATAATTATATAATAAACCCAGCCTAAATTTTTTTTACATTCACTAAAACCAGTTCTTAGTGTTCACACACATGATATTAATCATCATGCATGGTTTACCAACCATAAGAATAATTAAAAAAAACCCCATTCAATTAAACAATTTGACAAGACTTGGATGAATGGGAAAAAAAGTTGATTAATTTAGTGAGAATGTTTTAACTTTTTTAAGGTCGGTTGATTAGATAGATAAGGGAAGGGAGATTCAACTTTTCCAAATCAGTGTGCCCCTCTCCCTTCTTAATCCTGTAGAGAGTTGAATATATAACTTTTCCAACTTTTCTTTCTTTTCGGGCATCCATGTTTTTTTCTCCATTTTCTCCCTTGTAGCAAGAAATGATAGGTGGGTTTTATTTATTTATTTGATAGATATATGCAATTAATGTGAATATTATTGCTAACATATTTTGACTTTAGATGTTGATATCTCAACAATAAAAACATTGTGAAAAAGAAAAAAAAAAAATCAGGGGCTAACCTATATAAGTATAACCCTTTCCAGGGGTTACTATTTTTAGCACTTTAGCCAGGTCCAGGTCCATTATATATGAAATTAAAACATTAATTTATATTATTATTACCTTTTGTCTGGGGACCAAGAATTTCCCATTGGAGAATCAGGTTCTCTAAGGAAAAAAAAGAAAAAAAAAAACCGCAAAAACTCCTCAGATGATTGACATCGAATTGGGGCATGCATGCATACATGTTTTCATTTACAGGGTTTTATCAGTTGCAATGAAAATGGAATAAATGCTGCCTTTGCCTGTCATAAATGGATTTATCCCCCAAAGCATTTGCACCCATCACTTTGTTGTCAATCTTTCTCCTCTAATCTTCTTTTAGAAGCAATGTTTGGTCATGGGATGTTTGTTCTAGCTGTTCTTTTGGTAGAATCTGTGATGATTATTGCTGCAATTGTACGATCTTTCTTATTAGTTTGGAATAGTACCTACGTTTACAGGAGATGAGATGATGCCGGTGTGTTTCAATCTTTCATAACCTTACCAAATAATTTAATTAGCAAATGGAAACTCGAGATTACCTATATACAGCAACTGATGATCATAACCAACTTTTATAACTAGTCGAGGAACTCTTGGTTTCTATAACTCAATCATGGGTGATTGGCCAGTGGTTGGTGTGTGTGTGTCCCATATCTTAAAGTGCTAATTGTTAAAGGGTCATCCCTAATCTAAGCCATGCACTTAGTTTATATATTGAAAAACCAATTTATTATATATAAACATATCTCTTTGCCAACTTTCTTAATTAAATTGTGAAATTTAAAGCTAGTTTTACTAGAAAAAAAAGTTAGGTTAGAAGTTTGAATTTTATACAAAAAATTATGAAATTAAAAAAAAAAATTCTCCATTGGAGAGATAATAATCATTAGGTGAAATCTAAGTTATATTGATGTGAATTTTGTTATTAGTCAATGAAGATGATTGGAATTAATGATCAATATGGTCCCAAAATTGTACTCAAATCAATAAGCCAATTAATAAGCATTATTATACCTTATAAATGTTGATGTTAGGATAATAATTACTTATCATAAATTTCGCTTTTTTTTTTCAAAAAAAATGTCGCAACCTAAAAATAAAATAATTATATGAACTAAATAAATTACGAGTTTCACACAAAAACATGCTTTTAAAAATTTTCTTTATTTTATATATACAAATATGAAATTCACCGTAAAAAAAAAATGTATTTTCATTTCAGTTGAAAATGCTAAATGTTGGTTTATACTTTACACACTTGATTGACAAATGAATTTGAACATAAATTCCACAAATTTTAAGGTGAATCATTTATGCCCAACAAAGTTTTAATGGTGTTGAAAATAAATATGGTCTTAAAATTTTGGCAACAGCCACAACATTATTGAATTGTTTGTTTCACAATAATATATATTTCAAAAGTAAAAACCCATGTTAATTAGGAGGGCCAGTGGGCCACTTTCACTCATTGACTATAAGATTGGATTTGCCCTATAAAGGCCAGTGATCAAAGGCTCAACCATGGGCCAATTGGTGAAACCAAAGTGGGGCCCGTTGCCTACAATTTTATAAAAGCACATATATCTATATTTTAATTAATTTATTTTTATTTTAAAAAGTGTATTCATAACTTTAACATTAAGAAAAATGAATTGTATGATATAATAATAAGTACTGCTTATAAAGGCAAATTAAAAATAATTAAAATATTTTTTCAAAAAAAAAATTTACATTTAATATATTATTTTCACTAAATTCAATAAAAGACAAACACACTAATTACAATTTTTTTTTCCTTAGACTTCACTTTAATCACTGCCATTAACAATCCATAAAAATTTCACATAATAAATTAATAATGATGGAATTGGGCCTTATTGGGCCCTTGTTGGATCTTTATACCAAAAGCATATTGGGCTATCCATCAGCCTGAAACTCAACCCAATATAATGAAAACAAATGGTACTTTTTCCATTGAAGTAGGAAGGTTTGGAGTTGAGAAACATAGTTTTAGATCAGGTGCCAAAAAAAAAAAAAATCCAAGGGAACAGATGAAGATCTTTTGTTGGGTTTGTTTAGCATTTGTAATTACTAATGTTGGTGCCTTGTCTGAAGAGCCCCAGCTAAGCTCTGCTCGTGTTGTTTTCCAGGTTCTTTCTATTTCTCTTTTGACTTCAATTTCAGTTATCTTTTTTTTCTTTTCAATTCACTGCTAATTCTCCTATTTAATTTCAATAATAGCTGAATGCTTGTCTTTTTTGGGTTCTGGGACTTGGTAATTTTTTTTTTAATTTTCCATTTCTTGACTTGTTTTACTATATGTTAGATGTTACATGTTGTGAATTATGGAATAAATTGCTTTTTTTTTTTTTTTTGTGGGTAATGGTAGTAGCTAAAAGGTTTTGAATTCTATGAGTTTGTTTAATTTTTTTTTATAAAGCATTTTTTGTTGTAATGCAGACAAATTATGGAGACATTGAATTTGGATTCTTTCCAAGTATTGCACCCAAAACTGTTGATCACATTTTCAAGCTTGTGCGTCTTGGTTGCTATAACACGAATCACTTCTTCAGGGTACGTGTAGGAACGGAGAAAAGAATGTATTCTGGTTGCTAAATTAGTTGATGAATGTGATTTTGGGATGTGGGTAAGAACTATTTTTTTGAACTTTGTTGCAGGTTGATAGGGGCTTTGTTGCCCAAGTGGCAGATGTTGCAGGTGGAAGATCAGCTCCCATGAATGAGGAGCAAAGAAAGGAAGCTGAAAAGACAATTGTTGGTGAATTTAGTGATGTAAAACATGTGAGAGGCATTCTTTCTATGGGGAGGTAAAAACACCTTATTATTTTGTGAGTATGTTTAATTTAATTTTGTGCAAAGTTCCTTTTTTTTTTTTTTTATGTATATATATGGCACCATGTTTTGCTTTGGTGTAGATATTCTGATCCAGACAGTGCGCAATCCTCATTTTCAATACTTCTTGGAGATGCCCCTCATCTTGATGGGCAGGTATTCTTGTCACACTTGCTGAGCATCGTTGCAAATGATTATAATGATTATTTCAGAATCTTTTATGGCAAGATAGTGTACATAATTGATTCTGTTTATCTTTTCAGTATGCGATATTTGGTAAAGTCACTAAAGGTGACGAGACTTTGAGAAAGCTTGAGGAACTTCCTACACGTCGTGAGGGGATCTTTGTAATGGTATAAATCTGATACTATTTCTGTTTTTCTTTGTGATGCAAAGAAAATTTAGGATGCGTTTTTGCTTTAAGAATTGTTATCGTGGTGGATGCACTGTAATAACCTTTGACATCATGATTTATGTCCTCGCTTAACTGTTGACACTTCTCAAGGTGGTTCAGCTTCCCTGATGTAGGTATTCGGAATACAAGGGTTATTCAATTGGTGACTGTTTGTAATCTATGTAACTTCTTTCTACACTATGAATACTAATTAATGTTTATTTACTTATTCCAGCCTGTGGAGCGCATCACAATTCTGTCATCCTACTATTATGGTGAGAATTAAGCAGTCTCTTATGGCATTTTGTTTTAGGAGTGCATTTCCTATACTGAAGTCGAGGATGCATTCATATTTTTAGTCAGTGCTTCAACATTTCTTATATCTAATTCTATACTGTCACCTGAACTATTCCAGAGACAAAAAGTTCGATCACTATATTGCCTTAAAAAATATGACTACTTGAGCCTTCCAGGATATTGTCAAGCAGGAGATACGGTATTTTTATTGGGGAGTTTTTCAAAGATGTGAAATTAGTAATTGTGCCATACAGCATTGACAAAATATTCGGTAAAAAGGACACATAATGACTGCATGTAGTGACTTTCTGTGTTTCCTTGATGTCACGTGCACTTATTATACAACAAAATCACTGAGCTCAGTCTGGTTTTTCCCCCAGTATACATTTGGATGATGTATGAAACCTATCATTTACACTATCCAGTTGTCGCACCAGGAAAGGAACCAAATATTATCAGTTTATAAAAACATATTGTATCATAAGATAAACCATTACGGGATCTTCAAACAACACCATTTGTGCATCCGTTGATCCTTTTATCATCTAAATAAAAATCAATCACATCATACTTCTGGAAAACCCATATTTGCTTGCTAGTTTCTGAGATTGGTTCTTGTGGAAATCTAATCTTTATTATTACTTGATTAGTTGACTTTATCTATTTTAGTTAAGTCTTTTTAGAATAAGAAGTGATTTGGGTAATTACGCCAAATCCATTATGTATTTTCCTATTATGTGTAAAGAGTAAATTACTCATTTGATTAGTTGTTTTAATGCATGAAAATCTTGAGTTTTAAACTTACAAAAGACTTTAAGTGTGTTATTAAATTTCTTCCAAATATGTGTGAATTTTAGGATTTGGATTCGAGAAAGATGATTGGCAATGCTAAGATGTGTGCAGGACTCTATATCCTAAAAACTAATGATTCTGAAAGACAATATCAAAAGATCTCTTGTGTGGCTTCATCCTTTAGTAATAATAAAGATGGTACTATCATGTTGTGGCACTATCGGTTAAGTCATACAAATTTTTTGTACCTCAAAAGATTGTTCCTTCATTATTCAATTAAAATTCTAACAACTTTCAGTGTGAAGTCTGCCAATTATTCAGGCATACTTGTATCACATATCCTAATCAGCCTTACAAACTATCCCATTCTTTTTCAATGATGCACAATAACATTTGGGGTCCTTCTAGAATAAATAACATTATTGACTTCAGATGGTTTGTCACATTTATTGATGATTACACCAGGGTTACTTGGGTATTCTTTATGAAGGAAAAATCAGAAGTGGGCTAGCTATTTCAAAACTTCAACAATATAATCGAAACTCAATTCAAAACCAAAATCTAAGTGTTGAGAACCGACAATGAGAAAGAATACTACAATTCAATTCTTGGATCATATCTAATGAAGCAAAGTATAATTCATCAAAGCTCATGTGTCGACACTTTTCAATAGAATGTCGTTGTTGAAAGAAAGAGTTGACATTTGTTGGAAGTTGCAAGGTCCCTCATGATGGTTATCCATGTACCTAAGCATTTTTGAGGTGAGGTTGTTCTTACTGCTACAAATCTTATAAACAGAATGCCTTCTCGAGTCCTGAAATTTCAAAGCCCTTGCCAATCCCTTCTCAGTTCTTATTCCCTCCTTCAAATTATCTTGTCTATTCCCATTAAAGTGTTTGAATGCACTGCATTTGTTCTTACCAGCCAATAAAACCAAAGCAAATTAGATCTCAAATCCATCAAATGTATATTTCTTGGATATTCTGTAAATAAAAAAGGATACAAGTGTTACTCGCTAGTAAAAAAAAAATTCTACCATTTCATGAATGTTACTTTTTTTTTAAAATTAACTTTACTTTCCCAAAACTGTCATTCATGGGGAGAATCCAATCATACGGGAATATTTGCTTTGGGAATATCCTATTACTGAACCACCAAACACTTCTCAAACTCCCTTTCATGTTCAAAACATCCAACCAGATCCTCCAACTCCCTTTTAAGTCCAAAACATCCAACCAGATCCTCAAAGCTTGAAATGCACACAAGGGAAAACAAACAAAGAATTGATTATCTATTCAAGAAGAGAAAAAAACTCAAAAGGATATAGGAGAATGTACACCTTCAAAGCAAATCCAAGAATTTGAACCTATTCCAAAGATACTTGAAACCAACACAGGTAATACTCTTATTGAATCTGATTCAATTGAATCTTTTGGTGATCTTGATCAATTGATTGCTTTGAGGAAAGGTGTGAGATCATGTACTCAACACCCAATTTGTAATGTGGTTTCTTATGAAGGTTTATCACTTAGTAATTAGGCTTTTGTTACCACACTAAACAATATGTAGATTTTCAATAATATTCATGAAGCATTCATGCAACCAAAATGGAAGATGGCTGCTTTGGAAGAAATCAAGGCCTTAGAAAAGAGCAAAACATGGGAGATTTTAGAACTACCCAAAGGGAAAATCTGGTTGGGTGCAAATGGATTTTTATTGTCAAGCACAATGCAGGTGGAAGTATTAACAGATTGAAAACTCGCCTTGTTGCAAAAGGATTTACTCAATCTTATATTGTTGATTATGAGGAGACATTTGCTTCGGTTGCTAAACTTAATTGTTATTATCATTGGTAGCAAATTTAGATTGACCACTCTACCAACTAGATGTCAAAAATGCATTTCTTAATGGTGACCTAGAAGAAGAAGTTTACATGAAAATCCCTCAAGGATTCAAAAACCAGGACAATTCTGGCAAGGTATGTAAGCTTCAAAAGTCTTTATATGGTTTCAAACAATCCCCATGTGCATGGTTTGATAGACTAACAAAAGTGGTAAAGAAGTATGGTTTTTCACAATGCTAAATTGATCACATCATGTTTTTCAGACATTCACCTGAAGGAAAAATAGCCATTCTTATAGTCTATGTGGATGACATTATTTTTACTAGAGACTATGTGGAAGAAATGAGCAACCTCAAGAACCTCCTAGCTAAAGAATTTGAAATCAAAGATTTGGGACGCCTCAAATATTTTTTTGGCATGGAGGTAGCTTGCTTAAGGAATGGCATCTCTATTTCACGGCGTAAGTATGTGCTAGACTTACTAAGAAACTGGAATGCTTGGATGCAAACCTGTTGACACCCCTATGGACACAATAAATGAGGTAGGAATGGAAGAAGGAAGTCCAGCAACAGATAAGGGCAGATATTAAAGACTTGTTGGGAAACTCATCTACCTCTCTCATATAAGACCTGATATCGGTTTTTAAGTTAGCATGGTAAGTAGATTCATGAACAACCCAAGCGAAGAACACTTGAGGGTTGTGTATTGAATCTTACAGTACCTAAAGAAGAGTCCTATCAAAAGGTTATTTTTTAAGAAGACATCACGCCGAAATGTTGAAATTTACATTGATGCTGATTGGGCTGGATTCGTTATTGACCAAAGATCAACTATTGGTTATTGTACTTATGTGTGGAGAAATTTGGTTACTTGGTGAAGTAAGAAGCAATTTGTGGTGGCTAGAAGTAGCACGGAAGCTCTGTTTAGAGCTATGTCTCATGGCATATATGAGGAAATTTGGCTGAAAAGACTGTTAGGGGAGTTAAAGGTCTTTGTAGAAGAATCCATGAAGATATTTTGTGACAACAAAGCTACCATAAGTATAGTAAAGAATCCTGTTCATCATGATAGGACTAAACATGTAGAGATTGATCATCACTTCATTAAAAAGAAGATAGAGGAAGGAATTGTTAAATTAGTTTATACTCCCACATACCTCCAAATTGCAGACATAATCACTAAGGCTCTCTCTCGGAACAACTTCGAGAATTTGAAGTCTAAGTTCGGCATGATTGACATCTACCACTAAGCTTGAGGGGAGTGTGGAAATCTAATCTTAATTATTACTTGATTGGTTGACTTTATCTATTTTAGTTAAGTCTTTTTAGAATAAGAAGTGATTTGGGTAATTATATCAAATTCATTAGATATTTTCCTATTATGTGTAGAGAGTAAATTACTCCTTTGATTAGCTATTTTAATGCATGAAAATCTTGGGTTTTAAGGTTAAGAATATTCAGTTTTTAGCCTATATATTTTCATACAATTCTAGAATTATAATAAAAAAAAAATAAAAGAATAAAATAATTTTATTCTAGAGATTTCTTCAGTTTTGAAGAAATGGAGGAAGTATAGCAATATGATAATTGCAAGAAATAGAACATGTTCTTGCTTTATTAGAACAACATTTTAAAATGCTAAGGAACAAAATTTTGGGTGATTTGTGATGAGTAAAGAGATAAATTCTGATGACATCAACATGGTTCTGGGGAAGGATGAGGCTGGAGAGAAATTTGAAAAAGGTCTGATAGTGTAGTGGAGTTTTATGTTAGAAGTTGAAGCAATCTAGAACTTCCTTGGACAAGGGCTAGGGCTCTGACTGATATAATTGGATGGTCTAAAGAATGGTTTTACACCTCATCTATATAGAATTAAACACAAACACACGCACACACACACATGCATAATACTTTTCCTTTTCATCTTCTTACAAAAACTTTTACTCCATTCAAAAATTTGGAGATACATATGATGCATTTTAATATTACATTTCGTATCTTGTTTTCAAAGTAGTAGTCCCTGGGATCCAAGGAGCTATGCCTAGGTGAATCATTATCATTATATAGTAACTATGTTTACCTAGCTACAGCTAGAAAAATCATGACACAGGAAATTGCTTAACCTAGTTGATTCAATGCATGCGCATCTAACATGTGAAACATTCATTTTCAAACTTCTAACATGTGAAATGTTCATTTTCAAACTTGACTAAGTGATTTCTAAAGGTAAACTTTAATACCTGGATCAAACCAATCAACTTGCAGGTTGTAAACACATTTGATATACTTGCTTGGCATGCATTCTCATCTTTGTCCTTTTATTTGTTCCTCAACTGAACAATTTAGTATATATAACTCCAAGGTTCTGATGACATGTAGTGTTAGTATATGGTTTAGTATGAGTATATAGGAATGACAACCCAATCGCTATTTGTTGGGATGTAATGTTCTTACCCTATCCTTTTGGGTACCTTACAGCTCATTTATGACTTCAGCTAAATGCTAGGGGCATGAATGATTTTTTCTCATTTGTTTATATGTGTCATATTATGCATGTGTGTGGCTTTTTTTTTTGGAAGGGGGCAAGGTTGTACAAAGAGCGGCACTGCATTTGCACATAGATGTGTCACACCTTCTTGAACGCAAAATTTTATGATTCTCACCCAATAATATAGGGTTGCAATTCCTGATCAGAAATTTTATAAAAGGGGTAGCTCAATGCATGAGGCTTCGGCATTGTTGGATCTGGGGTTTCCAGATGTACTCAGCCTTACTTTTGGAGGATGTTTTGCAACTTGAGCCTGTGACTTCTAGGTCTCAATGCAGTAACCTTACTTTTGTACCAAAAGCTCACTCTCCTTGTCAAAAATTGTGGCCTGTGTAATAATTTCTGAAGGTTAATAGCATCATGCATGTCTGCTTGCTGAGCTGGAAGTTAAAATTATTATTATTTATAACTAATCAAGAACTGTACCACATGCCAATGGAGAATGTTGCTAACAATTTAATATAGCCTACTCATAATGTTATTTCTGCTTAATTTTGACATGAAAATGGGAATATACCAGTAATTTTGAAATTATGTATTACTCATTGTAAATCTTGCTGTCATTCTGATTGATTTTAGATACTGAGTTGGAGAGCTGCGAGAAAGAGAGGGGTATCTTGAAGCGAAGGCTTGCTGCATCTGCTGTTGAAATTGAAAGACAGGTGACTAGAAGTCCTGATTAACCTGTAATTATAATTGGTACCTTTTTGTTTTTCTCATGGTTAGCTTGGACTAATCCAGTGCCATTGCAGCGAATGAAATGCTTCCCTTAAATTTCTAAGCAACAGCTGCATCAGTTAAGGAGGTCCATTTTTCTCATAGGTTGTTACTGTTGTATAAAGTCGGAGACAGCATTGCAGATGCGAATTCTGGTAGAAAAATGGTGACAAACAAGTGTTCTATACTTTGTACCTAGCCTGTTCCAAAAGAAGCATGATAAACGAACAAAAGAAAGTGTATCTTGACTATAATAATTTCTGTTCTTTTGCTTATAATTTCTTCTTGTTCTGAGGAAATGGCTTTGTGGTAGTGGTGGTTGTTGACCAAGTGAATTCTGTCACCTTCTGGTACTAATAATGTTTGACTCACAAACTGAATTTAGTGGCAGTAACCTTATTGATACTTGATGATGGTGGCCAAAAAAAAAAAAAAAAAATCAATTTGATGGGTATTCATAAAAATATATATAAAAATTCTGTGTCTTGTGTTATTGCATATAACATTGAAACGTTTCAATCTTTTGCAAAAACCATGTAGGACCAGCCACTTGTATGCAGAAATCTCTCTTACCATTCCAGACAAGGTGCTGACATAAATTAATGCAGACCTACCAATTGATGTGGGTTGACGATTCATGTTTAGACAGAAGCATAATCTCTTGTATAAACAGCAAGGTTTATCACCACAGTTGTTTACATAGAGTTTTACTGTCACCCCAACACGTAATTACTGAACAATTAGAGGCAAAGAAGATCAAAAGAAGATTGAACGAGGAAGAAACAAAACAGATGAAATTTTTTAGTGATGCAAATATAACATGCCAAGATCAACATTGACTTTTGAAATGTGGATGGGCCGGCAACAATATGGGGATTCATATCATAATCACATGTATGATTGACTCAGCTATAATTTTCAGACAGTGACTCGCCATCAGTCCATCTATTAACCGTTTCTGTTGTCTTTCTGCACTTTCATTTGTGCCACATTTCTATCAGCACAACTGTCTCAAAAACATTCAATTGTCCTTTTTTTTAAGCTTTAAATTAATTCACTAAAAAACATTACATGTGCTGCCTCCTGCTGTTTTTGAAAAACCAAACTTAACTTTTCACTTCATTGACAAATTTGGATTCCCTTGTCCTCATTAGAACATGCATCCATTCCCATTATTAATTCATTCTTCATAAGGTTTCTAGGATCATTGTTATCAGCTGATAAACTTTGCTAAAGCAAAATTGCTGTAAAACCCGAAAGAAATGGCGTTTCTTATAAAACCAAGGTTACTGACTTATCATGAAACAGGTTTCAGTTTGTTGTCTTGTCATAGAAAAACAACTGAGGGGCAAGAGGCATAAGAAACCAGTTTTGCCGTCAACAGCAGTTTGGTCTGTTCATACTTGATAAAATATTGAACTTTTAATTTCAGTTAGTAAAATTCAATTTCCAGACAGTCTCAAACACTAAAAAGAACAAAAAAAAAAAACCAATGTGTCGACATTTGGGTTGCTGCAGTCTTAGGATGCATCACTTTAATGCTTCAAGATGGATGTCTCAAACAAGGCAGAGGGAAACATCCCACATGGTTGAATTGCAAAAACAATGGCACAAGGTTTGATTCGGAAGATCAATTTTGGACCACATCTATAGTTTCTTCTCTTATTGCATGGCAAATTGGGTTCCTTCTACTTGGCAAGGGTCAATTTCAAGGGATTGACTATTATCAGACAACAAAGCTAACAGCCACATGAATATGGAGCACAAACATTCACATTTTAATGTCTGGTTATCCTTTTCGATCGATCCAAATACATCATGGGCAATTGTAATAATGTTGCTGATCAAAGTTTCAAAGTCATGGAAAAGTAAATAAATAAACAAAATAAAAGAAAAGCAATGGAACTAGATAAGAAAAGAGCCAAAGCATAAACAGAAGCATCGGATACCATATTTCTCTAATTAATTTCATGGTTCTTGAGCAACATTGTACTCAATTAATCATTGTTTCGGACTGTTACTGTATTAAAATTTGGATAACTCAATTAATCATGGCAACGTTAAGTTTTTTGGATAAAGAGAAAAGAGGAGTCTAAGAAAATTAGGAAAAGAGAATTTATAAGGGTTGGGATCGATCCCTAGCCTAATTACGAGAACCCAACTCTCTTAATCACTTAGGCTAACTAGAAAATAAACCAATAAAACAAAAAAAGACTAGGAAAATATATAGAGAATAAAGGAACGGAGGCAGCTGCTTGTCCGGGGTTTGAACTACATCAATTGGTCAGCCTTTTAGGCAGCAAATGGCCAGTCTCGTGGCTTGCCATGCTATTTATTGACAACATTGGCCAACCTAAATTTGTCACGAATGACTGCCTCTCAAGCCATTAGTATTACTCATTCAGGTCATATATCCATGAATGAAATCTCAAATTTTACTTTGTAATAATTCTGAACTGAATTACTTAAATGTTGCTTTGTTCTAGCTAGGCTAGATATAAGTTCAGTGAGAGAAGCTGGCCAGAAATACTAAATATTGGTGATGAGATACGAGATTTGCTTTAATAATAATAATAATAATATGATTTTTGCAAGATTGTTGGAGTACGAAATTGTGAGAAACCTCATTCATCAGTTTTTGCTTAACTTGCTGTTCAATCAATTATTAATAATAATTTAATTTAATTTAATTAATTAATACAATCACTTTTAAAATGTGACATTTCATAAATCTAAAATTCAAAACTTAACACCTAAGTTTTTTATCTTCATGTTGCGATTTCTTTTGTTTAAAGAAAAAAAAAAAAAAACTTGACTTCATCAACTTCACTATTTGTTGTTGTTATCAAAGGCAAGCACATGATCTATATGTAATATATGAGTTTTAATATGGATACTTGAAAGAAAAAAAGTGTATCCCTATAAAACGAACGGAGTTCGGTTTCGCTTGTATTGAAGAATTTGGTATATGAAGCAAAGAAAATGTGAAGGGAAAATCTTTTTTTTTTTTTCCTGAAACTGCTCTTAATTTCTTGATACCAAACATAGTTAGTTGGTGGGAAGTAGGAAGTGATAGGCCAAGACCTGTAATTCAATGGTAGATAGTATTAATTGTGTATATAATTATATATGTTTGCAACCAAATTCTATGTTCTCACAGGAAACCTGACAAGCAATTGGCTAGATATCCTATCATTTTTATCAAATCATTGATCAATAAGTCTCTTTCTTTAGATCAAAATCATGTTCCAGAAAATTACAAGAATAAGATAAAACTTCTTCTACTTGTCTTTTTTTAAAGGAACTAGTTGCATGCCTCTTGTAGCTATGGAAGAGGGTTTGGCTCAAATAATTTGGCCATGAGAAAATTAATTATCTTATATATAACTATAATGTTTAAAATTTCTTTCTGCAGCTGTTTTGTTTTACCAATCATATTTAAGATTTATATTATATATATATAATTCAAATATATTTAACTGTAGTAATATTGGTCATCCAAGGTTCAAAAGATTACGCACAACATATTGGAACATAAATATAACGTGTAGTTGAAATCGGTTCCTATCAGCTTAAGCTTCAAGGATAATTGATAACCTAATTTAACATAGTATTTGAGCCTTCAAGTTTGAATCCTGGCAACCCAAGTCTCCCTTTTAATATTGTTTTTCACCTAGTATCCTGTTATTCATCAGACTGTCCCTTGCTTCTTTAATTTTTCTAGAATTTGCCCTTTTTTTTTTTTTATATTTAAGTTCATGAACAAACTCATTAATTATTTTTTCGGTTTGAAAAGGTGCGTTGGATTCATCACGGGTAAAATAAATAGTTGCATTCCTACAAAATGTTTGACATTAATTAACTCGAATAAGTATACAGAAAACCTTATATTAATTTGACATTTTCACATTTAAAGATCTCATAATAAGCTATCATGGAAGATGGGATCGTACAGTTTACAGCTCTCTTCTTCTAAATCCCTGACATGCTTTCGTGTACAATTATGGAATCTAAGCCAACTCTTGATCTTGATGAGGAATCACGTTCAATTTGCAAGTAGATCAAATTAAATATTGCCGCATAAACCCTGATGATCAATTATTAACACTCAAAGATCTTTGAGGAATCTAATAAATTAACAATATAATTCATTGTTAACTGGCAGATTGTTTTTGTTGTAAAATACATTCCCAGCCACACCCAAATCACCTAAAATTAATGTTGATATATATATAAAACACATATAGGACACATGATATTGTCAGCAGAAATTGAAAAATTAAGATAGCTGAAGCTGAGGTCATGTGACACAAAAGATTTGTGGGTTATTGCTTTAATACAATTTTTTTAATAGTACTTGCAGAAAAAAAAAAAAAAGGGACTTAAAATTAACATGAAATACATTCAACCATTTTAAAACATATGAAAACAGATCTAGCCAAACTTTTTGTCCAGTGATCATTTATTTGTTTTGATAATAAAAAACTTTCATTAACTTTAATAATTTACTATTACCATTTTAATTAATTTATTTCTTTGCATTAAACTCTTATCTATTAGATATCATTACTCAAAAGAAAAAAAATGTTTAGTACATTATTGGACCTAAAAAATGAAATCCATCCAGCCACTTTCAATTAGTAATAATTTTTTTTACTATAATTTTTTTAATTTAGCTAATTTAATTGCATCCCTAATTCTACCAACTCTATTGCCATTTCATATTGTGTCTATAAGTTGCAAGAATGAATTAAGATAAAGACAACTTAAACTTATCCTTCCACTTTTTGGCCTAATTATTAAGAATTTTTAAGGAAGGCATGTGGGTATGGGTTCTAACCTAGTCAATCTCCTTTCCTTTTATAAGGACTTTGCTCTCCTATAAAACAAAAAAAAAAAAAGACAATTTAGAAACTTGACTTAACCTATGTGTTTAAGAATATTGAAAACTAATTAAGGCTGAATCTTTTCTCCTATCGTTAAGATTTCCATAAATGTTGATGTTGATTTTGTTCTTTAACGTTATTGACAGCATATTTAATTTGGATCGATAACTAATGAGTTGAAAAGTATAAACAATAATGTTTAAGGGGCCGGTGATCGATCTCTTTCACTAATTAATTAAATCAAAATTGGAAATTATTAGTACGATTGAATTCAACAAGCTACAGTGATCCTGAGTACTATTTGAGCTACAAGATTTGGTTTGGAAAGCTGGGTTTCCTTCCTCGATGGTTGCCTAGTTGTATGCCGATTATGATGCAGAAAAAGACCCAAAATTTGTGTTCAATGTGTTTCAGGCTTTGAGAGTTTGTAACATTTTTCAATGGATGCACATGGAGAACTACAACTACTCCCCACCAAAAAAAAAAAAAAAAACGGCTAACAAAGGGAAGAAGAGGCAATGATTGATTAAAAAAAGCAGTAGTCGATCGGTGATCTTTTTGATATTTACTTGCATAAAACAGTTTGCAAATCTGTATTTGTGTCGTGTAACGTAGCTAGCTTTTCCTAATTGAGACTTTCAAATGTGTTGTAACATGCATGAAGTTTTAGAGGTCACATGATACATGGGAGGTGAAATATCATCATTTCCCAAAACTTTAGATATATACGTTCCAATCATTGACCCAAGCAACAAAATTTTGACGACGTTGATTGAGGAAATTGCCATAAATAGCATTGATTAAAGATTTTACCAAAGTTTTTTTTAGTATAAACAAAATTGTAATTTAAAAATTTAAAAATTAAATTTATTAAATATCATATCTTAAAAATGATTACATAAATCATCATTTGAATTAAATTTTAAATTCTTTTAAGTTTTTAATTATGACGTAAATGGCACGGTGTTTACTTTTGTTAACTCTTGAGCTTAAGTTGCTAATTGCTATAATTTATAATTAAATCATTTGAAAATTTAGATCCAATTAAGTTGTTTTGTGATAGGTAGGATCATGTTTCATGGTTCACGGCTCATCACTAGGTGCAACGACTCTGTCCACTAACTCTAAAAGCTTTTACCTGCAGGAATCTAGCCGGAAAAAGTTATAGTAGACATTCAACTTGTTTTAGGTTCGAATCATTTGAATTTAATCTAATTGGGTAAGCTTATTTATATTTATATTATATTATATTTATTTATTTATTATTATTATTTATTAATATATATTTTTACTTATTTATCTATTAACATATTTTATTATTTATCTATTAATATATATATTTTGATTTTATCTTTTTCTTGATCAATTTTTGGCTGAAAGATCAGAAAAAATTGGAATGAATTCTGCCGTGAATATGAGACTAGAGGAGTTTGGATTGGATTCAAAGACTTGAATCCAAATCTCAGATGAAGTTAGGATTGATCAGAAACTCTTCTAATCAATTCTTATAAATAGATCTATAAATCACACAGAAAGGAGAAACAGGAAGAAAGGAAAAACAAAAAAATGTGTTAGAAAGGTTATGAGCAATCTTAGGAATTTTAGAAAAATTTTGAGAGTTTTTAGCGATTTTTTTTCTAGGAAATTTTTGAAAATTTCAGATTCCAGTAGAATTTTTCGACTAACTTTGAATTTTTCAGTGATTTTTTTGGCACCGATTGAATTTTTTGGCTAGTTACCTAATTTTTGATGTACCATTTTCAAAAAATTGATCAACTTTTCGACGAACTTTTGATGAACAGCCCAGATTTCAACGATATTTTTTAAAATTCGACGATATTCAACCGATATTCTTGGGATTCTTTTAGAGAGAAGGAGGAGAAAAAGGAAGAGAAGAGAGAGAGAGGAAAGGAAACAATCTGCGAAAAAACAGAGGTGAGAATTTTTTATACCCAGCTAAAACGAAGTTGTTTTGGTATTAATAAAACCCAGAGGATCAGCACGTTTCTATTAGGGCGACCCGACCAGCAATGCAACCCGCTTTCGACCCAAGTTCAGTCATTAAGCCGAGCCAAGCCGAATTGCTTGAGCCGCACCAAGTCGAGTTGTTTTTTGTCTCTCAAGCCGAGTCAATTTTTCCAGTCGAGCCGAGCCGCCTTAAGATTTTTTTTCTATTTTATTATTATTATTGTTATTATTATTTTCTAAATTAAAATTATTTGGTATTCTTTATTTTATTTTTATTTTTATTTTTATACATTTTTTTATTTTCCTTAAAATTAAAGTTTCAAAAAAAATATTTTTAAGGGAAAGTTGAAAGTATCAATTTTCTTGAAAATAAAAAAGGGTTTTAAAAAATATTTTTAGGAAAAATTGAAAGGATCAATTTTCCTTGAAAATAAAAAAGTTAAAAAATATATTTTTAGGGAAAAGTTGAAAGTGTCAATTTTTCTTGGAAGTAAAATTTCTAAAATAAAATTTTCAAAAAGTATTTTGACGAAAAGTTAAAAGTATTAATTTTTCTTAAAATTAAAATTAAAAAAATATTTTGAAGAAAAGTAGGAAGTATCAATTTTTCTTAAAAATAAAAATTATCAAGAAAAATATTTCAAGAAAAAGTTGAAAGTATCAATTTTCTTTGTACAAAAGCAATGGATTTTTTTTATAAAAAGAAAAGATTTATATCAAGAGTTGAATCATTATTCCTTTTTATTTTATTATTTTTTTCTTTCTTTTCTTGAATTTTTTTAATACTAAATAATCTGACGATGGAGTCTCTACAAATAAAACAATAGTTTTCTTACATACTCTTGAGGTAAGAGAATTTTTTTAATTTTTTACCAAAAGTATTGGAGTTAATTAAGAATAATTTTTAATAATTAATTATTTGATAAAATTTTTAAAGCTTATCGGATAACACAAAATCAAACTGGTACCATCTTTCGATGAACGTTGTGAGGGTACTATAACCTTCCTCACACGTAACTGAACTCCTGAACCCTATTTTGGTTAGTAGACCCGAACTTATTCTTTTAGGGACCCTTAAGCTTAAGTGTTTCTTGAAATGATAGATTTCTTAGGTGGTTAATCGCACTTAAATAAAAAAGATTGGTGACGATTTCTTAAAGTCAATGTCTAACGATAAATATCCGGATCTAGACGTTATGATAGGTACAACAAATGATATATCACACGTGGACAGGAAACACCCTCTTCTTTTACTACTAAAATATACTATCTAGATGTACTATTATATATATTTACTCAAATTTCTATATTGAATAAAAGTACATATTATATATGATGCCCTAAATAAGTAAAAACTAGGAAATTAATTTGCCGGGAAATTTGATATGCCCAAAAAAGTGTGTTCTAAGGATTGCTTTCACCATTTCAAATGCTTACTTCATTTCAAGAAAATTTTTAAACATATAAAAAATAAATACGAGAGGAAAGAAAATGTTGTTAAGGAATCAGGTTGGGTGCATAACACAGAGGTTACGAGACGACAAGTGCCATATCGTGAGCATGATTATGGAATAGAAGATTATGAACGGAGGATACTAAAATCTACTGGTCAACAATGTCTCCCTTTCTCCTCTTTCTCTCTCTGTGTCTCTCTCTGGGTATGGTTGGCCGAAGTGAAAAAAAGTGAAAAAAAAAATGAAAAAAGAGGAGTTTTGGCTTGTTGGGCGTTTTTGTTTTTGAAATAATAAAATTAAAAAAATGTTGAGAACTTTTTTTTGTAAGAAAAAATTTAGAGATAGATAGATTATTCAATTTTTCAGGTTAAGACAAGATGTACCGTACCTAGCAGTCTAAGATTGGAGTAGATAGGTTATTCAATTTTTTAAGTAAGGACAAGATGTATCGTACCTAACAGTCTAAGATAAGGATAGATAGGTTATTCAATCTCTCAAGTTAGGGCAAGATGTACTATATCTAGCAGTCTAAGATAAGGGTAGATAGGTTGTTCAATCTCTCAGGTTAAAGTAAGATGTACCGTATCTAACAGTCTAAAATAGGTGGCTGCAAGTTATACATTCGAGATGATTCCAATAAATGACCACCGATTGGACTCGAATCCAAGATCTCTTCATCGAGGGAGACGAACTTAACCAATTGAACCAATAACTTATTGGTAAATGTTGAGAACATTGAACTATATACGGTGATATTTCAAGGTATTTGGCCAAAAAACATTTTATGGGTGTATAATTCAAATGACAGGTAGTAATAAGATAACGTGGGATTGCGTGCTAAAAACTGACAGAAGGGAGGCCCGCCATCGTGATTATCGAGCACATTTGCCCTTAATCCACTTGCCTATTTACCCCAGTTTGGGGACACTCGGAGAAGGACAGTATGGCGTATCGCTCTTCTGCTTGTTCTTCTTGATTCCTCTCCCCTTTTCTTCTTGTACATGCACGCGGCGCATATCATACACATTAAAAAACGACTTAGGAGGAGAAGCCTATTTAATAAGCAGCATAGCCCACTGATTTCTTCCATGCAATTGTCTCTTGTAATTCACTGCCAAAGCATTTCACTTCTCTAAAGCTTTCTTGCTCTTCTCTTTGTTTTTCTCACCTTATAATCCCATTTTTCTTAGGTTTTCTTGTCTGACAAAACCACATCCCATTTGTCTTTCATTAAGAGTTTCATCATCACTTTGTTTTCCTTCTCTCTCTCTCTCCCTCTATCCTTAAACTTTCATTTTGTTTCCTGACACAAATATATATACTAGTAGTTAGTAGATTTTTCAACACAATGTCAAGCAGAAGATCACGTTCCAGGCAATCAGGTGTTTCCAGGATCACTGATGATCAGATCACCGATCTTGTTTCCAAGTTGCAACAGCTTATCCCTGAGCTTCGTGGAAGGCGCTCCGACAAGGTACCAAACAGTGGTCTTTTTACATTTCTCTCCTTCTCCAAAGTCCCAAACTCTCTCTTTCCTTTGTGTGGCCTTCGTTCACTTTTGTAGATAAAGTCATATTCACATTCTCATTTATTTTCATGTGGTTCATCTCACAACAAGTTGAGGTGTGGGACTCAATCTGTTCCCTTTCAGCATGCATCATGTTTAGCTATCACACTCAAATGTATCAACAATTAAAAACACAACTTTAATTTGATGTTTCTTTAAACTTAAATAAAACCCCATAATTATTCTTAAAAACTCATGTTGTTTTATTAATCTTTTTCCCTCTAATTTCTCTTCAGGTGTCGGCTTCCAAGATCTTACAGGAGACTTGCAACTGTATTAGAAGCTTACACAGAGAAGTGGACGACCTAAGCGACCGGTTATCAGAGCTATTAGCTTCGACAGACACCGATAGCGAGCAAGCAGCCATTATCAGGAGTTTACTTATGTAATAATCCAGCCTTTGTCATTCTCTCACGTTTTCCATATATATCTAGGGTTTGGTGATCTCATCACAAGTTGTATGGTAGTAATGCAGAACAAGGGTTAAACAAGGGGCAGTTAACCATGTTATACAATCCTTGTCATCAAGAGACTTGTATATTGACCAAGTCTATCATAATATATTTATAAAATAAAAAAAGACTTCTAGTGTTTTAAAAAAATATTTTGATTTCATGAGTCTACGATTACTAATGAAAATCACTGCCTTCTTGTCTACATTCCTATATTTTAATATTATCTCTGTTTATTGATGGTGACGGTTCTCAAGAATATAAAACGAATATGGCAAAATTTCAAAGTATAGAGGAAGGCGAGCCATGGCTATATTTTTATATATATAAATGTGTATATTTCTGTTAATGACATTGGTTAAGATTAAGAAAAGAGAGATTCACGTTTTAGGAGTGGACCCATAAAGGTCAACCTCAAAAGCTGATGACAATGGCTGACACGTGATTTACTCATTGCAGAAAATTCTCTTCAGAGTGTCACATTTGATTTGTTTTTTTTTTTTCCCGAATGGGTTTGAACCGTGAATTCGTGATTCTCGTTTTTGAACATATTAACTTAGAGAAATTAAAGTCATAAAAAAAAAAAAAAAGAAATGGTTTTAAGTCTGTTGCGACGACTTTCATTTGATTTGCCTTCTGCCGTCATTTTGTGCTCATTGCCGACTAGCAGATGATCAACGCAGCCGTCGAGATTACGTAATATGGCGTGTTTCAGGCATAAGCGTGCACTAGCTAGGCTTTGATAATCGTCATTAATCCTGCATGCAATTAGGAGAGTAGAAAAACTAGTAAAAGCAAAGAGATGAAAAGAAAGAAAATTCTTTACTTTTATGATTCTATCGTCCTATTGTGGATGGAAGATGTGTTGCATTATTGTGGAGGGCAAGCAAATTAAACCCCGTTTAAACTATATTATCTAGAGAAATTGGAGCTTTCTTCTTCTTTTTTCTTTTGCATGAAGGCAAAAACAAATAGACGTACGTGATAAAGATATAAATCTACTATAGTAAAGTCCCATTGAGGAAAGAAGCAGAAAAAATATATAAATTTTAATTGTAAAATCTTTTTGTAGCTAATATAACCTAGATGCGTTAAAAGAACATGGTAAGATTTGAGACAACCGACATTATAGCTGTACGATTCGACAGAATTAATTTTGGTTGATTTCTTCGGTGCAAATTGGATAGCAAACCAATTTTGGTATATCAGTTTTGTGTCCAAACCCGGTTGAATATTCCTCCAGCAAATGTATTTTCTACTTTAAAGGAAAATCAACTTTATTGGTGATCCTGGTTCACACTAATTAAAAGCAAACTTTTTTTTTCCTGACCCTATGTTGAATTAGTTGATATATTGTTAAATTTAATATTTAAAAATTACGAATTTGAGAAAATTTATATACATAATGTTCTCTTTAGTTAAATATATCGTATGATAAGAGAGTTTAAAGATAGATTAAAAATTAAAAAAGATCTTTTTTTTTTTTTTTGTAGTGAGGCTCTCATTAATACATGTATTGAAAGATGTTGAGTGAAATCATTTATCGCTTCGATTCAAACAAAAAAATAAATTTTACAAAAAAAAAAAATGGTCAATTTATTGAAAACTAACGGATGAAAAGATAATAAAAGGGCTTTTACTTTTTCCTTTTTTATATGATTTGTTTGATCCTTGATGCTTGCTAACTTTGATTATACATTTACATTTTTTATTTGAGAAACAAAATTCGAATATTATTTTTTGTGCAGGGATTATGCACCAATCTATGTGCGTATACATTATTTGTGTTATTTGTTCCTCACATTTTATTTTACATTTTAAAATTTTTTTACTTAAAATTATTAAAATTTAAATTTCGATATTTAAATTAAAAATTTAATATTTTACCTAACAAATATTCTATTTTTAATTAATGTCAAGTAGTTAGTGATAGTAACGGATTGAGTGAAGATGAGTTTTTGTTCATCCTAAATTCGACTCGATTTTATATTCACAATGTTTATCTCGTTTTGATATTGTATAAAATCATATTCGATCTGATCTAAAATTAATAAAATATTATTTTTTAAAAAATATAAATATATAATTAAATAAAAATATATATAAATATAAAATTAAATAAATAATTAAAAAATAATTATATATATTGAGTTGGGATGAATTTAACTGAAACTTGATCTCAAAAATTTTTTTACTGTTTTCCGACCTATTCTGACCTGAAATCTGATTTTTAATAAAAAAATTTGATCCTAAAAAATAAGATTATATCGGAATCTGCTAAACACGGATATGTTACCATCCCTACAAGTGGCTGAGGTCAAAAATAAAAATTGAGGCTATAGCTAGGCCCAAAAGATAATGTGGATTCTCTTACTCACCTATTTCATTTTGTGTGATTGACCACTGGCTCTTTTAGCCGAAAGGCCGAAAATTTCCCCTTTTTGGGTTGTGGACGATGAGCTACATTATTTAGTTTAAGACAATATTTTGAACTTTGAACGGTACCAGAGTTTTGGGGCTGGGTCAAGGTGAGCGGTGTAGACCCCTTTTGTTGGTATTTTAAAAAAAATAAACACATATTGAAAATTAAAATATATATCAACCTTTCTTTGAAATAACAAAATTAAAAAATGTCGAAGTGATTATTTAATATGATAAAGATTGTAAATTTAAATTCAATTTTCTTTATCAATACTCTTTATTACGAGTGATCAATAAGTTCTGATTAAGAATAAATAAAAAAAGATTAATTCAAAAAATGTAAAAAAAAATTACTAACAATTTTTTTTCATAATAAAAGAGAGGGTTATTTAAAGTATAAAAGAATCAAATTTTATAATATCAAATTACTAAAATAAAAAAATAATCTATAGATTAAGACAAAATTGAATGCTTAAATTTGAGATTAATAAACGGAATAAAAAAAAAAGATTTCTATTATTCAATTTATACGGGTCAAAAATACCCAAACTCGATCAGAAAATCAAAACGGGCCAAATAACCGCCTTTCAAGGTTAAAGTGACCAACAAACCGGTTTCTTTAATTTGCAGTAAAACCCCAGTCCACGCGCTTCCTCCAGGTGTTCTTCCCGTTTCTCCCTCTTCATTCAATCTCTGATCTAATCAGGTTCATGTTTTCCCTCAATTATTTCAAAAATCAATCATCAAATTATTATTATTTTTTTTGCGCGTGATGAGTTATTAATTGATTCTTCCATACTACTTGAATTTTCTGTCAATTTAATTTCTGTTCGTGCTCATTATTCTTGAATTTTTTTTCCATGAAAATTCTATTTAAGCTCAATATCCGTTATCCTTTGTCTAGGAAAATGAGTGGTTTTGGATATACAGTGGAAGTGACTGGCTTGTCCCCCAAAGCTACGGAGAAAGATGTTTATGATTTCTTCGCCTTCTCTGGTACGATTGAACATGTCGAAATTGTCAGGTACTTTGAAATTTGAATTTAACAAAATTTCTTCTAATTTCGATTAGATTTTCATTTTGTCAAAATTTTTATTTTTTTCTCGGTTAATTCTTGAAATTGATCCTTTGTATTTACTTCTTCTTGGAGGTAGTCACGTGGAAAAATATTTACTTTGTTTTATACTTTTTTATTTTTTTGGATCAAAGCAGGTCGGGTGACTATGCAAGTACTGCCTATGTGACATTCAAAAATGCTTATTCTCAAGAGACGGCCGTCTTGCTTAGTGTATGTGATCCCAATATTTCATTCAAAAGTTTAAATTGATATTTAGGATCTTGTCGTTGGATAGCTGTTTTTGGTACGAGGGGCATGGATTTAAATAGTGTCTGTGACATGGTCTAGCCACCGCTATTTATCAGTAGCGTTGCCCTCCACCACCATTATTCACCACAATGAAAGTGTGAATTATCATTCATATAAAATAACAGTATATCGTGTCTGCAAAGAGCGCTATAACAGAAAGTTGCGACTGTAACGGGATGCTATAACTGATATTTATGCTTTTTTTTAATATATTTATGAATTTTATATCATATTGATTCTGACTTATAATTAAACTATGTGAAAAATATTTTAGCCTATAAACGTAAGATTAAAATATCATAAATAAATATTATATATTAATCTATTCTTTTGCTTCATTATGAAAATTTAAAAAAATTCATAACCGCGATGGATGCAATTACTGTTATCTTATCTGTTATGTTTACAATCACAATAAATGCAACGTAACTGAAAATGCGAACGCATATTTTAAATCTCTAATGAGGGGAACTTGATCTTTTTGTGCCTAGCTGTTTTTGGTTAATTCTTTATGCGTTTTGAATACCATTGAATTGATTATGCAGTACTACAACAGGAATGGATTGAGGGGAATATATATGTGCATCTTGTGGCAGACGTGTTCATGTCATCACTTTCATTGAACTTGTAGTCTTAGTTACAAAAATTTTAAGTTAAATAGCAAATGAAGAATAAGTGAAGACAATCGATTACGAGAAGTGTTCTACTTTGGTTCATTTGTAGGAATATGACCTTGAACCAAGATGCAGAACATGTCCTTTCATGTTTTGAGGAAATAAGATATGGAGGTTCATATTGGAGTGATACAAATATATATACATTTTTTTTTCTGTGTTTTGTTGTTAAAACTGATGATTAGCTTGTTGATGTAACTTCTGCATTTTTGTCTCTTTATCTCTCTCTTTCTTTTGTTTTATCAAACTTTTGGCATCGGAAGTCAGGATGTACGTAAATTGACTTTTGAGTGAAGTATATTTCGTTGCTCTATTTAGTTTCATTCCTTTGTTTTCTTTGTTTAATGGTTTCATCGTGTTACTATTTATATTCAGGATAATTTCGAATCTTAGTTTGTGAATGGTGGTTCTCCCTTGATAATTCTATAATCATGTTTGTATTATTGCTCTTTGAAAATTTTATCATTGTAGGGTGCGACACTTCTTGATCAACGTATATGTATAGCTAGCTGGGGCCAATGTGAGGAGGAGCTTCTTTTTTGGAACCTTTCAAGAAGCCATGAATATGAAACAAGTTCAAGTGTATGTGACTTTCTATTTTTTTTTTTTTTGTGCTTATGAATTGATCCTTTGTGTTAATTTTGCTTCAGTTATTGTGTTCCGTCTTCACTTTTTCTTTTTCTTTTTCACCTTTTGTAGCAACCACCGCTGAGAAGCCGATTAGTATCTCATGCTGGAGAAGCTGTTTCATTCGCTCAGGATGTTGTCAAAGCCATGTTGGCCAAGGGATATGTATTAGGCAAAGATGCTTTAAGCAAGGCCAAAGCCTTTGATGAATCTCATCAAGTTTCAGCAACTGCCGCAGCTAAAGTTGCTGAACTAAGTGAGAGGACTGGCCTCACCGACAAAATTTGTGCCGGTGTTGATGCTGTGAGATCAGTGGACGAGAGGTACCATGTCTCAGAGAACACCAAATCAGCCATTTCTGCTGCAGGAAGAACAGCCGCGGCTGCTGCAAACACTGTGGTCAGCAGCAGCTACTTTTCCAAGGGCGCTCTCTGGGTTTCAGGCGCATTAGATCGAGCAGCTAAAGCTGCAGCTGAACTCGGTAATCGTAATGTTCATCAGTAATGTTTTGGTACTTGAACAGTTCCTTGTGTTGTGCATGAGCGCCTTATAGCGTATACGTAGTTAGCAGTTTGATGCTTGTATACAGGGAAGAGTTGAGTTGCTTCTTTCCTTTCAAGGCACCTATACTTGTGATTTAGCTGGAAATGGTAGTGAAGTTCAAATCTACATGTTTAGAGTGCTCGAATTTGGCTTCCTTGGCAATTAATTAATTACTACTAAATCAAAATCTAGTACAGTAATGTTTTTCTCTTTTTTGTTAGAAAAATGTTTGTTTTATCTTTTATGTAAGTCAACAATCTTGTAAAAAAAAAAGGATTTTTTATGATGACTTAAACAAACATTTAAAAATTTCTTCAGATGCATACGGTGAGATTTGGAAGATTATGGATTTGAAAAGACTTAAATGCGTAATTACTTAAATTGGTGGATTATGAATAAATTAAAAATTAAAAAAATTAGTATTGATTCAATTAGGATTGTACCAGCTTCTAAGATTTAGCGTAAATGCGTTCGTAAGCGAGATTTGCTCATTTGTGCACGTGTCTGTCAATGATTGGCTGTTTTTATTTAATACCCTCCTCTGGTCTGTGAACTTGACTCCATCATTCCCTTGTCGGCGGGCGTGGTCTTTTCGCTCGTCCGAAAAGCATGCCTTAAATCACAAAGTCGTTTAAACCAACGGTCCTGATCCATCCCTTTCCCCAATTAATCAACGCCCCTGATTCAACACTTTTCTTTGTTGCTCCTTTCTTTGATCTCAACTTTTGTCCCACGACTGACACGTCACAATACTGGTTAAAAACAAGAAAACAAACTCTACACCTAAAGATCTTGATGCAGGTGCGACGTAGCCAATCACAAAGCGAGAGACCGTCAGTCGTTGTAATCTTTGCAAAGCTCCTTCACTCTCCTCCACACTTGCCCTAGCAAGCAGATCCAAATTAAAACAAAGAAAAGAGAAAATTTTCATTTTATATTCAAATTTTTTAATAAGAAGGGTTTAATTGAGTTAACTCGTGGAGGATAAATAATCGGCGACTGAGTCAAAGAGGCCACGGCAGGAATGAGTGATTCAGATTCGATCAGGGTTCCATACAGGAACTTAAAGAGGGAATTCGAGGTTGAAATGATCGACGATCCTCATCGTCGGGTCGATCTGAATTTGTCTCCTAACTCTCCTTCAACTTCTTCCTCGAATCCTTCGTCGAGGATTCCCAATGGAAACTCTAACTTGTCGTCGCCGATCCATGTCAGATCTAAGGATTGTAGCTTGATGACTCTGGTTCCTAGTTGTACGGTCGCCGCCGGGGTTCAGTTTGGCTGGGCTTTGCAACTATCGCTCTTGACTCCTTACATTCAGGTATTTAACGGAAAGAATTAGGTTATTAACTATGAATCTTGTGCAATTTGAATTTGATGCAATGTGTTTGAGTTCTGATTAGTTTTATTATTAGATGACAGTTATTTTGCTTTTTTATGTAATTTTTAGGAAATAAAAAAAATAGCTGGGTGTACTTTTTGTAGGCATTCGTGAATCGAATGAGTTAGAGAATAGACACTGCAATACTTTTCATTATTGTTTAGTCATTAGTTTACTTAATTCTCATGGAATTTAGAAAGAATTTTGTGCGTAATTACAAGTTGGAAAAGAGAAATCATTGTGTTGAAAGAGAAATTTTATTTATTAGCCTTTTGTAGAAATACTTATCATCTTTAACGTTATCGTACAAGATGTCCATAAGTTGAAGAAAAAGATAAATTAAATATTTGAAATAGGAAGGGTAATGTTCACCATTAACTACATAGCCAATATTTTTTGCATGTTGATTATTGGCATGCATGTGAAACAGAGAAGAATAGGATTGACATTTTGTGAAGAACATTTTTTGGATAATAATATAATTCTCAAAATCTTTTGTCAAATTCGTGTTCATGTAATAGTATCTCTTCTTTTTTTTTTTTTTTGTTAGCCTCAGCCATGATTTCTTTTCCACTGCTTTGTGCTTCTCTTGAGCTTATGATGCTTTCCCTTTTGTTTGACTGTGTGTATTTGGTTGATTCGTGCAGACACTTGGAATAGAGCATGCTTTTTCTTCATTTATTTGGCTCTGTGGTCCAATAACTGGTCTTGTGGTAGGTGATGGGAACCATAATACATATAATTTTACATTATTGCCATTTTTATTATTAGGGAATCATTATGGGTGTAACATGATATTTTATTGTGGTAACTTGATAAATCTGATAAAACAGCTTGTGTTGCATTTTAAACTAACTAAGAAAAGGGATGGGTGCCTTGGGCGCGCTTTAATGTATCCTAGGTCCTTATAGAAGGGGGAGGATGGGGGTACTAAGAATATTTGTTTGATTGCTGAATAGTGAACTACTTTATTTATTCAAATTTTCATTTTCATCCCCCAGGGTTCTTGTGGTACTTTTATCCCACTGTAGGCAGTTGATCTGCTTCATGGTCTCTCTCTCTCTCTCTCTCTCTCTCTCTCTCTCTCTCTCTCCCCCATGTGTGTGTGCGCTAATTAGGAGGCTGGCTATATTTTTGATTAAAAGCCTGGCTATAGATGTGATGCTGCTTTAATAGATGTAAATAACCACAGTTAAAAGAAATCAGAGAAATAATGCCCATCTATATTTGTGATTTATTGAGTTGGCTTACATTTGATGTTAGGTTCAACCTTGTGTTGGTATTTGGAGTGATAAATGCACTTCAAAATTTGGAAGGAGACGGCCTTTTATCCTTGTTGGATCGCTCATGATCTCTGTTGCTGTAAGCATTGAAGAAGATTGTTTTACCTATTAAATAAAATTAAATAATTCATTCTTATATGCTATGTTTTCTGTGTTTTATATCTGCTAAACTAAGTTTTGTAATTTAGGTGATAATAATTGGGTTTTCTGCTGACGTGGGATACATATTAGGCGATACAAATGAGCACTGCAGGTTTCCTTTTCTTCCTTTTGATTCCTTCTCTTATCTTATTGCAAACCCCCCTGCCCCCTCAAAAAAATGACCAAATAATATATGCAATGCAGTACATTTAAAGGTACACGAACTAGGGCAGCTTTTGTCTTTGTTATTGGGTTCTGGATGTTGGATCTTGCTAACAATACAGTGCAGGTAAGCCTTACATGTCAATGATTTCCTTGTTCCAGTTTGCCCTTCCATTTGCATGTGAGCTAATAATAGAACTTTTATTTTCTTAGGGACCAGCTCGTGCCCTTTTGGCTGATCTATCAGGTGAACTCCCATCTTTCTTAAGCAAAATGGAAAAAGTTCTAGTCTATACATAGTATCATTATGATGTTTAAGTTTGATGCCTCTCATTTACGAGGTCCTATAATACTACACATGTTTGAATACTGTGCATGACAAGATGCTGTATGGCTATGTTTAGGTCCTGACCAACACAATTCTGCAAATGCTATATTTTGCTTTTGGATGGCTGTTGGAAACATCTTGGGATTTTCAGCTGGTGCTAGTGGGAGTTGGCACAGGTGAAATTTTTTTCATGTGTTTTTATTTTGATGAAACAAACAATTATGGATACACAGTGATTTTTTTCATCGTTTACTGCTTTTAGATATTGATCTAATTCTACAAATTATTTTGACACAGATGGTTTCCTTTCTTGAAAAGTAGAGCTTGCTGTGAAGCCTGTGCCAATCTTAAAGCAACATTTCTTGTTGCTGTGGTAAGTAGCATTATCCATTGAAGTTTCACACTGATAAAGCTTTCTAGGATGTTAAAACTGAAATTCATCTCCTAAATGTTACTTTAGTACATTTGATTTGTCAATTTATGTTTTGAATTATGGTATGTCGCTTTGGCATGCTTACTGATTCTTTGAAATTGTTGATCTGATATGCCATTTGCTTTGCATATGTTGTGGACCATTAGTTGCATTTACCATTATCCTGATTATTCATGAGTTATGAAAATAATTTTCTTTGTTGTTAGGCCAAATATTCTCATGAGTTTACCTAGAAATAGTTATTTCTGCTACTGCAACGATGTAGAGATACAGTATAGCTTCTCCATGCTTTGAGTGGCTTTTCAGTAGCTAGTTCCTGTGTTTGAATGCCGGTTTTGTGCATTTTCTCGTCACACATGTTTTCTAACACTTTATTTGATGCCATCCCATATATGATCGAAAAATTGTTTGGCATTTGTGCAGGTCTTTCTCTTATTTTGTACTGTTGTGACTATATGTTTTGCTAAGGAGGTTCCACTTCCATTGCCAGCAAATCAGCCAACTCACCTATCGGATTCTGCTCCTTTGTTGGATGATTCCACACAAAATGGCTGTCAACACTCAAAATCAAAAGCTGATGTGTCCATTATTGCCAATGCAAATAGGAATGATGCTGAAAATGGATATGAACGAGTGTCAAACTCCAAGCATGCTGACTCAAAAGATACAAATGTTCAAAATGAAGTTTTCAGTGATGGGCCTGGAGCAGTACTGGTCAACTTATTGACCAGTGTAAGGCATTTACCGTCTGCAATGCACTCAGTGCTTATTGTTATGGCTCTCAGTTGGGTAAGTCTCAACATTTTGTTTTCTACAATTTGATTCTTTGAAATTGGCCTTGAGCCAATTATCTGTTGATTGATAGTAGATGCTTAAGGATTGTTAACATTTTCATCTGAAGGTTGGCTACAATTTCACAACCCTTTCTCTTCCTCCAATGAGAAATAAGAAAAGGAGGAAAAGCAAAGCAATCATTTATTATTATTGATTTTATGTCTATTTGGGTCTTATTTGCAGCTTTCCTGGTTTCCATTCTTTTTATTTGATACGGATTGGATGGGAAGAGAAGTATATCATGGAGATCCAAAAGGGAATGCTTCTGAAATAAAATTGTACGATCAAGGTGTCAGAGAAGGTGCATTTGGTTTGCTATTAAATTCTGTAAGAACTAAAAGTTGATCACCTGTTGTTAGTCTTTCCTAGATTTTCTTTTCTCTCCATCGTTTGAAGTTAATGTAATGATGTTATTCATTGAGGGCTGTTGATGATTAAGTTTCTTTTTTATTCATTTCAATAGTTGTTATATATCAGTATTTTTCATGTAGGTTGTTCTGGGCATTAGTTCTTTCTTTATTGAACCGATGTGTCAACGGATGGGGTCAAGACTTGTTTGGGCAATGAGCAACTATACTGTGTTTGCCTGTATGGCTGTCACAGCTATCATTAGTTTGGTATCTGTCAGAGAATATTTTCAAGGGGTCGAACATGTAATTGGAGGGAGTGCAGCAATCAGGATTGTTGCCTTGGTTATATTTGCTCTTCTTGGCTTTCCTCTAGCTGTATGTATCAAACGATTTGCAGTAAATTTCTATATCATTTTTGTTTTAAAAAATGTTGTATTTTTTGCACATTAATTTGTTTTGTTCTTGCAGATTACCTATAGTGTTCCATTTTCTGTTACAGCAGAGTTGACCGCTGGTTCTGGTGGTGGCCAAGGTTTATTTCTCCATTATCTTCTGCCTTTATATGCTTGCTGAATTTGGAAAATTGTAACAATTTACATGTCTGTGCAGGATTGGCAATTGGTGTTTTGAACCTTGCAATTGTTATTCCACAGGTACAAAATTTTATATGTTGTAGTATTTAATTTTACTTTTTATTATTTCAGAATGTTTCTTACAACTTCAGAAGTTGGTTTTTCCTTTCATAGCTCATAGGGTCTACCTATTTGAGCTTCAAATATCTAAGTATTTTGGGTGCCTTGTATTTCCAGAAGTTTGTATTTTGGTTACCTTTTAGGCATATAAAATAAAATGTTGATTGTATTATAAATTGAATAAAGAACTGGTACCTTTTGTGCTTTCTCAATTTAGTCCAATTTAGTTAAAGCTGATTTTTAATGTATTATTGGTTTCTTCAGATGATTATATCTCTTGGTGCGGGTCCATGGGATGCCCTATTTGGTGGAGGAAATATACCAGCCTTTATTTTGGCTTCTTTCTCTGCACTGGCTGCGGGGGTTATTGCAACTCTCAGGTTGCCTGATTTTTCAAGTTCCTACAAGTCATCTGGTTTTCATTTTGGTTAAGGACCAAAATGGCCTTAATAAGGTGAAAACCACTCTATATTTGATGCTTGGCAACCATTGAAATGCTGTCATTTGCTTTCAGAGGAAGGCTCTACCATGATTCATAGGTATAATTTTCATACTAAAAGATTTGCATGTTACATATCCATATTCATTCATTTTTTTTCCCCACTTCGTGGGTGCATGTACTTTATGTAGAGTGTAAGTTGCTAATTATTATTATATTGAAAAGAATATACATGCACAGGGTGATTAGTGTCTTATTTACTTCGAAAGCTCTTCTTGTATTATTTCTCACATTATAAAGGATTGAAATCTCAGTACTTGCAACCCTTTCCCTTATTCTCAGGTTGTGGCCTCACATGTACAAAAAGGAAAAAAGGTTATTTCCTTTGTTCTCATTGCTGTGGTCATTTCAATTTTATAGAATTGTAGCTGATAAACTGTTCATTGGAAGCATATGTAATTTATGATGTGGATGATTTAGGAGCATTCATATATAGCTTGTTTGGTACTATGCCAGGTGGCCCTGGATTCTTGACCACTTGTGTAGTCATGACGTTACTCTCTTGAGCATTTGTTTGTTTTATAGCTTAGATGTAGCTCTTCTTTCTGTCTAAGTGTGCAGCATACAGCAGCTATTTTGGGCTTGGCATTTCTGGATGGCATGTGATGATATGCAGACTGAAATTGGAACTCTGGCTTGATTATGTAAAGGTTGAATGTCTCCTTCCTGACTGCCACTTAACTCTGACACGGCTTCTAAACGCGAGGCATGTGATGATATGCAGACTGAAATTGGAACTCTGGCTTGATTATGTAAAGGTTGAATGTCTCCTTCCTGACTGCCACTTAACTCTGACACGGCTTCTAAACGCGAGCTTAGACATTGTTTGGTGCACTTCTCAACTGATCCCCTTTAAATTTCTTTTCTTTATTGTCTCATTGGCCTTAACACCTTTGGTTCTGAGGATACACTCATATATATATATATATATATATATATTAATTATATAATTTCCTTGTAATTATATTTTTCCAATAAATGGTAAATATCTTGTGCAGGATTCTTATGAGAACCAATAAACCATACTGTATGCTCTTCCACACACTTCTTTTAAAAGGATGAACTATATCCTGTCTGGATTACTTACTAGAAAATAATTTTAGAGCTTGATAGAGGATATGATTGTGCCTTTGAATTTGTATGTGCATTTGCTCTTTATATGCTTCACTTCCAAACAGATTTGGGGGTTATTTATGTGTATTAACCACTACACAGTAGGAAGAAGGTTTTGGTGAAACTCTCATTGATTTCTGGAAAATAGAAAGAAATAGATTTCTAAAGGTTACCAGATTGAATCTGGTTAAAGAATGCACCATTCGGGCTGGGGCCACTTATTTGGGTATTTATTATTATTAGCTGACCCTTTTTATTTTTCGAGAATTGTATAATCATGTCCAAGAATATGCTTCACTCGGCATCCAAGTCTTATTTCTGTGATTCAACTGTTTGTGAATGCAAAGTCTGGTGCCATTGCCATGCCATGTGAATGCCGAATTCTCAGAAAAGCTATTCATTCTTCCCATACCCTAGACCTTTTAGAAGTTTTTACAAACTACACGTTTTAAACCAATTGGCTGGCTTCAGCTTTAGAATTGAGTGGGTTGGATACTAGATTTCATGTTAAGGGAAGCATGACATTAAAATAGATGTGATGCAAGCAAGGGTATAATAAATCGAGTTTAAACTGATGCAACATTAGACTCGAGCTTGAATTCAATTTCAAATTCGAGGTTTGAAATTCAGTTTGAGTTAAATTGAATTTTATTTTGGTTGAAGCTTCACTCAAAATAAAAATTGAGTTATTTGAGTTTGCTCGATTAAGTTCGATTAATATGTAAATATATTTTTATATTTGATAGAAATTCGATTAATTAGATTTTATTTTAAGCTCAAGCTTGAGTTTGAGATATTTTATTAATTAAAATATATTAAAATATAAAAATTTATTACACTTAAGTTATTTAAATTGGATATAAAAATATTTAAATTCAGTTCGATCAATAAGTCAAGTTAATTGAGCTTGATATTATAATAATTAAGTTAAATTTGAGTTGAATTTGAATAATTTAAAAATATTAATTTATTAGTTATATTTTTAGATGCGAGCTGTCTCTTATCATAGCTATTTTCTAAATATTCTCCACTCCATTCACCATCACTATGCAATTTGTTTATAGAACGTGTGGAATAGAACAGCTACAGAATTATATAAGCCATGTCAATGCACTGAATTAAGAAACATAATGAGAAAACCAAATTTATCAAAAAGAAAAAAAAGGGTTTTGTCTGAATCATACAACTCTATTTCTCATTTTGAAATATATTTTCTTCGTTTCAATAACTATGTAAATACCATTGTTTTCTCAGATTATTATCTACACAAATATATATATAACACGTTGCTCTGATTTGTGGCGAATCCGAGAAGTATGCTGTTTAATGGACGGGTGTGAATGGTGGGGCCATATTTCATGAAAAAAAAATGTTCAGCATGGGCGCATGCCTACGAGGAAAAGAATTAAACAATAAAAACAGTAACTGGACCAGTGGTTGACAAATCACTATCAAATTGCATTTTTTTTCCTCCCTTTTGGCCCAAAAAATTGAGCAGAAACATAAAAATAAAATCACCCGAAAACAGAACAGAGAGAGCAGGTGACGTCAAGCAAAGATTAGCACATGGGATTGCAAGCTGAATCAACCCCTTCCATTAGAGAACAAGGATGGCATGTTGAGTGGGAGATTCAGCCCTTCTGTTTTATTTATTTTGGTAAACTTTATAGTATTTTTTTCTTAAGTGTATAATTTTTTATTTTATTTTATGTTGGTTAGAGATCTTAAGATTATGATTTTGAGAAGATTTAGACTTGTAATTTTTTTTAATTAAGTAGATAGGGATGAAAAAGTTAAAAGATGAACTAAAAATTAAAAAAAAAAAAAAGAAAGAAGAAATGGAGATATAACAGGTTGAGAACATGGATCCACTCCCATTGAAATGGGGTAGGCTTCAGCTTCAACTAATAAAGTCATGTGAAGGCAGTGAAAGTAGCTTTGTCTTTGCCCATTTTTTCTTTTTTAAAAGCAGTATTTAGGACCCCCCAATGGAACCCACCATCACCAATATTAAGATTGGTGGGGTCCTAACTATGCCATTTCCCCAATCCTTCTCTTCTTTATATACATTCCAGCTGTTGAATAAAAGCAGCTAATCATTTTTCCAATCAAAACATTTTCAAGGCAAATATCATATTAAAAGCTTCCCCTAAGCTGCCTCCCTAATGCCTCTTTCTCCTTCTCCCATGCATGCACTTTTATATTCCTATTTGCGTCACCAAAATCTATGGCCTAATCCCTTTTTGATCTTTTGTATATTTTCAAAAGCTTATATAGAAGAAAATAAATGTTACAAACATATAATCAAGTGAACCAACTAGCATATGTATAGTTGGAGAAAATTAAATTATATAAAATGTTGATTTCTAATGCATCGAAAGAAAATATTATTTAATATAATAATAATATTAAAGAATATCCTAATAATATTTGTTAACAAGATCTTTATATAAAATTGGATCAAATTCATATTTAGACCCTTGGCTTCAAAACTTTTGCCTTAATTATCTTTTTAATTCAAATAAGGCATATATATATGTATTTATATAACTGGTAATGTATGATTTATAATATTACCAATAGTTGTGTGTTTGATGATAAAACATTGAACTTTTAATTTTGTTTAATGCATGAGCTTTTTTTTTTTTTAATTATCTGGGATGACAACTTCAAATATATATAAAAAAATTACTTTGAATATGATGTTACTAGGGTTTAAGGGATGTTTTTATATGTGTACTATATGTGGGGGCATTATTAACTGAAAAAGAAGAAGGGAAACTGGTGTGATTGATGACATTAGCTTTTTCTCAAATGTCAAGATCAAACCTCCAATTCTAACCTTCAATACTAAACGGAAAATTGCCAGCCCCGTTGCATCATTTATGAATTTTGTGGCAGTTGTACGTTTGTGGCTAATTTTACCTCTTTTGGGGCCATATGTTGGATACTTAATTCCTTTCATGGGTCCTATCTGTCCATTTTTCTTTCCTTTGCTGTCACAAACTATCAAAGGGAAAAAAAGGGGATTGAACAATTTGAACATACAAAAAAAAAAAAAAACAGTGAAAACTTGAATAGATTCAGCCCCTGAGCCTGAATAGAATGACAATGTTTCAATATTCTGCATGCAGGAGGTAAAATTTTGTGTAAGTCCTTTTACAGGTTAACTTTAGATCTTTACATCTTACTGCAATTAACAATGCAGAAAATTAGAATGGTACTCTCAGGCCAGATTTTTAGGTCCTTATCAGCTAGTAAACATTGTAGCATTTCTCTTCTAGCACTGGTAGATTCTGTTTTGTGTTAGAAAAGGTCAAGAATTTGTGGGTTTTTGGCCCTTGCAGAAGCACAATTTTTTTTTTTTCACTTTCTGTTCATAACCCATTATTGGTGTGGTACTGTGGTCAAAGGAGAAATTCACAGTGAGTGTGTTTTCTGACTTGGATCAATATATTTTTATCACCCTTTTCATTGTCCTTTTACAAACTTTGGTAAATATATGTAGTTACCAGAACAAGGTTTTTTTATACCTCCTCATTTATGTTTAACTACTTGTATCAATATCTTGTATAAAAAAATATATTAGATTCTTCAAAGTAGATTGGTATGTAGTATATTTCAGCTGTCATGTCTTTATAAGTTCAACACTTCAATCCATGTTTGAGTAACATATATAGTATAAAAGTTTCTCTCTTTTCTTTTGAACCATTAGTCATAATCATGTGTAATTTCATCCAATAATACAAACATCTTAATTCACAATCAATGACTATTTTCTTTTCATATGCAAACAATGAACATTCAGACTTTTTTTGGTTAATTTGTGCGTAAGAGAGAGAAGAGGTGAATAGTTCATGATCATGGTAGGATCCATAAAGAGAAGCTAAGTGAAAGAATATTATAAATACACTTAACAGTATCTTCAAATGTAGTCCACAGTGCAATAAGGTTAAAAAAAATGATCAAAGAGACCATTCTAGCAGCTGCTATAGTCATAAGATTTTTGAACGATGGTGGACAATCTTGTGACTGTATGAAAACAACGTATTTGACTTTTTTTGGTAGCTTATAAACATTCATACTATTGATGATCAGTAGTAACTGATGAGGGTAATTAAAAAGAAATTCCAGCAGATTTGGATGGAAAAAAGCTTAAAAAGTTGGTTTCTAAAAGGAATGACCCGCCTCCTAATTATCCAAATCCAACCCTCCTGAAACAAAAAATGATACATGGAAGCATCTATGTCTAATCAGATAATCTGAACAAATTTGTTAAGTGGGAAGTTCAGAGATTTCATATTGATCATTTCAGAATCTTGCTTTAGCATGGGATTTATGGGAAAGTTTTTTTCTTTTTTATTTTGTAAATTAAACTGAATGGAAATTGAAAGAGAGAGAGAAGATGATGCGGATAGGACATGAAATGAGTGACCCATGCATGAAGTATTGAAGGGGAGGGGGGTGTGTCAGAAGAGAGAGGAGCAGTGGGATAGAGATGGACAAATGGGACTCAAAGACAAAAAAAAGACCAGCACTTGTAGGGTTCCTAACAACAGGAGTTTTGCTTGGGCTTTTCAAACCCCTCTCTTTTTTCTTTCTTTCAAATACAGAAGAGCCATTTGCATCAGAGGACTGAAACTGATGAAAGGATAATGGATGGGAAAGAGGCTTGGTCCTAATGCACGATACCTGTTGGTGGGTTAGGTAGCAACCCCTGCCCCCCCTCATTGGACCCATCCCTAGATTCCTGCCTCTTCTCTCTCTTTCTTACCCCTCAGGCCCTCATATGTAAATCCCCTTTAGACTCTAAAAGATACATCCAACTCATTTCCCTTTCTTCTCAAGTAACCCTTCTTTTTCTTCACATAACTAAAACAACATAAAATATCACAAAGTTTCTTTTTCTAAGAAACCCTAAACACTTTCCACCCATATGAACACTCTGATTTTTTTAATTTGTTTAAACAAACAAAATCAGATTTCTTTAGGAATAAACTAGTATTTTTTTCCTCTCTCAAAGTCACCTACTTCACATTAATTAAAGGGGAATATATATTAAAATATGAAATATACAGTACTGTCTATATATCGTCATAGCTATGGAATCAAGCTTCTTCAAAAATGCTTTGCTTCCCATCCTGAAAGACAAATGTCTTTATCAAGAAAACACCACTATTTGTCTCTTAAGTGTGGAAAAAGACTAATAAAATGAAAATGACCTCAAATAATTGTACTTGGATTGAAATCACTCCTTGAAATTGTATTCAGAGTCACCGCATTATCAGGTTGAGTTAGTAGCCTTTTCATTTTTTTTTCGCACATTCAATTTTCTAGCTATATGCCCTTATATTTCTTTTCTCATTTTTGTCCTGAACATGCAAATGCGTGTATCCACAATTATTTAAGCAAATTTTCATGAATTTTTGTTTATTGTTAATCAATTTTAAAAGGGAAAAAAGACAGCTTTTCCTTCTCCATTAGCAACCTTTTTTGTTTTAATGAAATAAAACACTCATATAAAGAGAAGTGGAACTATAGTCTATAGAGTCATCATACATGCATATCTCTCTTTCTCTCTCCCTCTCTCAGAATAGATAGATAGATAGTATGAAAGAAAAAATGGTTTGTTCCTAGAAGTTGATAAGGTATATAAGCTATCCATTTTACACAAATCTCTGCATCACCTTCCAATTCAAGAAGTTCTAGTTTTCCTTTTAGTATGATATATCAAATCTCTCTTTTGCTTTTAATACATTAAACTCTGTGTCCACTCCGAGGATTTGCTTCATATCCTTCTTTCCTTGAAGAACATCATGACGGTCATCAGATTATGAATAGCGTTTTCTTAATACTATTGGAGGGTTATTAAAACCAGCCTGTTGGGTCATGTCTTGCAATGGGATGGCTTTTTTCCCTGCAAATTTCATGCTCCCAACTCCTCACGAGGACGATCATCATCACCCCCCCACTTCTATCAATCAAATGCTTCCTTCATGCACGCCCCAAGACTTCCATGGTATATCTTTCGTCTCAACTCTCTCTCTCTCTCTCTCTCTCTCTCTCTCTCTCTCATGGAGAAAAGGGTTTATCATTTTATAATCTTGTATATGAAGGATTTTGATTTCTTTTCTTGGGGGGGAGGGGGGCATAGGTGTCGCATCATTTCTAGGGAAGAGATCAATGTCATTTTCAGGGATAGATGTATGTGAAGAAGCAAATGGGGAGGATGATTTATCAGATGATGGTTCACAGGCAGGAGAAAAGAAAAGGAGGCTTAACATGGAACAGGTAAAGACTCTAGAGAAGAACTTTGAGTTGGGTAACAAGCTTGAACCTGAGAGAAAAATGCAGCTGGCTAGAGCCCTTGGTTTGCAACCAAGGCAGATTGCTATTTGGTTTCAAAACAGAAGAGCTAGGTGGAAAACCAAGCAACTAGAGAAAGACTATGATCTCCTTAAGAGACAGTACGAAGCAATCAAAGCAGATAATGATGCACTTCAAGCTCAGAACCAAAGGCTTCACGCAGAGGTAATCTTATAATTAATGAAAAATAAATAAATTAATACAAATACTTCTTTAATATATTTATTTTCCTTTCTGCTTTTCTTGTTCTTATATCAAGTCTTTCTTATATGTTAAGAAAAGCTTTAATGTTTCTATTTCATTAATCGAGTGTGTGTTGAATAATTGAGTTTGAAGACTATGATCGTCTACTCTATTATTCACGCTTTATTGACTTTCTATGGAATCATGACTTTCAGAACCTCATTTCAGACTCTACTTTCTTGAATCAATGGTTTTCAATCACCAACCTCCTTTTTTATTTCATGTTTTACTTTTCATGGGTTGATCAATCATAGTTTGAAGGTCAGGTAATCATGACATGAATTAGAAATCTCTCTTACAAGTTGCAATAAACCTGGGATATAGTTTTTTTTTTTTTTTTTGGTGGACAATGATCTCATTGTTTTATCAAATTATCAATTCAAACACTTAAAATCGACACTAAGGGAATAAGTTGTTTCCTAGTACTTGTCTAACATGCTTAATCTTTGATTGGATAAATTAGTTGTTATGGTTGCAGATAATGGCGCTGAAAAACAGAGAACCAACTGAATCTATCAACCTCAATAAAGAAACTGAAGGATCTTGTAGTAACAGAAGTGAAAACAGCTCAGATGTCAAGTTGGATATCTCAAGAACACCAGCAATTGACAGCCCGTTACCTACTCATCCAACAAGCAGAACCTTTTTCCCAACATCCATTAGGCCACCAAGTGGTGGGTTTGCACAACTATTCCAAGCCGCATCATCAAGGACTGATAATCACCTTCAATGCCAAAAGGTGGATCAAATGGTTAAAGAAGAAAGCCTCAGCAACATGTTCTGCACCATTGAGGATCAAACGGGGTTTTGGCCATGGCTTGAGCAACAACATTTCAATTGATAATTTGAAACTCATCGATCAAGGTGTCAAATTTGGAATAGTCCCTCATTTCCGCAAGTTACAAAAAAGTTTCAGATCAAGAGGGTAACTAATCATCATATCAAGAATTTAATTATATATTATATCAATGTTTTGGTACCTAGAGAGAGTGGTGTATAAAGTAGAATTATATCATCATCAAGTGAAAACTTTTCATCAGGAGGGGCTGAAGAGATGATTATGGAGCAATAAAAATGTGTCTTTGGGTTATATATATCAGTTTTCCTAGGCTTAGAGAGAGAGATGTTTGCTAGGCTTGATCACGCGAGAAGAATTTCCAAGCAATTTGCTAGTGATGACTAGTTGGTTTGCTCTAGCTAGCATGGACGATGAAAAAAATAAAAAGGGGATTCTCTTGCTACATATATTTTATTATTCTTTTTTTTACTTGCTTTGGAATCATGTGTTTTGTACTGTTGAAGAAAAACAAAAAAAGCTTGAGAGTTGCATTTAAGAGAGTCCATTGTCATGATTTTTTTGCTGATTTCATCATTCAGTACAAAACGGTTAACGCCAATGGTGAACAAAATCTACAGGAAGTGGTTAAACTATTCTAACCTTTTTTCTTTGTAAAAATTGAGAAAAAAAGAGAGAGTATCCAACGCACATTCCAAGAGGAGAAAAAGACAAACAGATGCCAGAGCAGAAGAAAACAAGGAGAGTTGGAAATGGTCATTCTCGTGAAGGGGACGTTTGGCAAACTTGTGCTGACAAACAGGGAATGGTATCCAAAAGCCAATGTAATGTACTAACCTTTTGGCACTAGGCAGAGTCTTACTACATTACTGCACCCTCCTTTTTTGATCAGTCTTTGATTGCAGGAAAAAAAAAAATCATGTGACCCACTGTCACCCACTCCCTAGCATCCAACACAGTCCTCTTTTTGCCCCCACTTTCATGAATCTTCCTCTTCTCAATCCCTTTTTCTTTCTCTTCTTCTCTTCTACTTCTACTCCTTTCCACTTCTTTTCAATGACAGATACAAAGTAATTGTCAATTGCATGATCTATTCTTTTAGCATGATATATATATATATATATATGTTTCTGTTCATCCAAAGCTTGTTCATGTGTTTGGCACCTAATTATCTCATCGTCTGGTAGATAACCTATGATCCTATCATTCAATCATAAGCACCGTACGAATATTTTTATGAAAGAAATCACAGTTTAAAAATAAAAAAAATATATTTTAACAATAATTATATATATAAATTAATTAAATTAAATTTGAAATTCAAACTTCACACATCTTTGTAAATCATCGTAATTTAAATTTATCATTTTCAAGTACAATATCTAATTCAATGAAGCGAGAAAGTGATTTAAAGAAATTCTTTCTTATTATTTTTGCTTGATTTAGACAAATTACTTTGTCTATACGCGAAACATCATCTTCGTACGTGTACATATGGATAAGATGAAGTTTCAAAATTATAGTCGTTGCTTTTGGTTTGTGAATTCGAGCCATTTTTATAATTTAGTACCGAATATGATGGATGATCTACATGTCATGTCAGTGCAGTAAGATTAAACAAATAATTTTGAATCCCTTGGCCACAATGTGTAACACATGGAAACAAGAAGCAACAAGGGTTTGGTTTGATTTGAATTGAATTGGAGACATTGAAAAATGAACAACGTTGTTTCTTCCTTGCTAGGCCACCTTTACATAGGATTCTTTCCTTAAAAAGTAATTAAGTTCTAAAATATATAAAATAATCAATAAAGCAGATTAGCCAGTAATTAATCAATGTAATTACTTTTGGTGGACTAGGATTAATCTTTAAATAGATTTAAACTTGGATTCTCTATTCTCCAAGAACCCCAATTGGATACAAACATATGTGATCAAATCTGCATATCTTGATATGCAAGATTAAAGATGTAATTAAAGTAATCGCGCCGTAATAGTTTACTTTTAAATTTTGTGAAATTATACTTTTTTTTATTGGATCATGTGAAGAGATTTGAGAAAATCTCTTGGCAACATGGCTGGAAACCTTGGCATTTTATTAATTAAAAATGTTTAGTGCCAAAAAAAATTTAAGAAATTGCTAGTTGAGATAGAGATTGTTTAGTGGCCATGTGCATGCTGGTTTAATTCCTTTGAGTAATATGGGATTTTAAAATTAAGGACAGAAGAAGAGGATTCCCAGTATGTCTAAAAAAAATTGATGAACATAACATGTAAGCAGCAATATCACAAATGATATAATGAATTAAAATAATTAATTATTGCATTTCTTAATTAATGGTTTGTAACATGAATCTGGGTTGTGTCAACGGCTAATAATAATATTTTAAGGAGCAACCTTTGAGTTAATCAATTGAAACAACTAGACCTAGAAAGTTGTCTACCTATACCTCAATTCATACACAACTATCAAATTTTTTTATTTATTAAAAAAACAATTTTTTTTTTAAATCCAAGCTCGAGGTTGATCTCATGTTTCATCATTTAATCTCATTTTTACATAAAATTTAATTTAACCAACTAATTAAACAATTGATTTCGGTCACATTTTTTTTTTTTTTAATCTTCGGAGAAGCTCACCGGCAATTTCTTCTTTTAATTTTATATTATGGTTTTTTTTATAAAAAAAAATATTAATTATGTATCGTTTTGGCAGGAAAGGGATAAATCTTAAGTGAACCTAGAATCAGTATTAGTGGCAGTGATTAATTATAGGCTAACATTTTTTTTGTTATTAGTATTATTTACACTATCATACATTGCAGTCGCTTATTTCAACCATTAAAGAGCCGAGCTAGCCAGGCCACAAGCCCGCGGCTGAAAACCGCAGCCTGGCGTTGCAATGAGGCTCAGATAATCCAACGTGCTGTCGCTGGTGGTCTATTGTCAGCCCAGTTATGTTATTTAAATATGGGTCTACATTTGGCCCAAAATCATCATTCAATAAAAAATAAAAGAAGGGAAATAAAATGAAGATCAACCGGTGAGTATTGTCATTCCACGTGGCAAACACATTACCATCGACAGCTTAACTTAACTGCCTCTCATTTCCCTCTCCTTTCCTCTCTTTCGAACGGATAAACCTTGATCATGGCCTCCACTTCTCTTCTTTCACCGGCCGCCACCGCCACAACCGCCACTTCCATAACCCACAAGTCCCTCCACTTCTCCTCCAACCTTCCCTTCCCTAATCTCCCCTTCAAACCCATTTCTACAAACAACAGAATCTCCACCAAGCTCCACGTGTCCTCCCCAACTAACCGACCCGCCACCACCGGCAGTTCTCCCTCCAAACCATCCTCCAAAAACCCCAAAGAAGAAGCCATCTTCTTCGATGGTGGAGCCCATTACGGTGACCTCTTAGCTAATCTGCTTCTGGGTTTCACTCTCCTATGGCTGCCTTTGACTCTAGCTGCAGTTTCAAGAGCCTTTTTCCTGAGGTACAGATTCACCAACCTGCGGGTGACGGTAATTTCAGGACTGACGGGTGAGGATAGGAGTGACTTCTCTTACAAGGTGATTAAGGACGTACAAGTGGTGCCACGTTTCATAGGTGAGTGGGGTGATGTTATCATTACCTTGAAAGATGGGACAAAAGTTGATCTTAGGAGTGTGCCTAGGTTTAGAGAGATTGCAAAGTACTGTCTCTCTATGGCTGAGAAACCTGCTGTTTTGAAAGAAACTGGACCTAAAGGGTTTTAAGTCAAGCCCCCTTTTTTCTTGGGAAGGTGTGTAAATTTTGTGCTTTGTTTTGATTTTGATGGGATGTTGGTGTCTCACATTTTATTGTTTTATTTCTCAACATAATGGAAATTGAAGCTAAATTGTATCAATTTCATTTTTGATTTGGTTACATATGTGTGTGTGCAATGGAAATAGATCCTCATGAATAGCTCTGAGTTAATGCTCCAATTTTCCAGATTTCCCTGGATATGACATTTTGCTGCAACAGTTTACCGATGTGCATACTAAAAACTTACCACATGTTATCCATCCAAAAGTAATTTATTGTTTCTTTAGAGCAACAATATTACAATAGTGATCGGTCAAAATGTAAAAATGTGGTTAACGCTTTTCGTCTGTGAAAATTTTTATTTGATGAAGCTCGATGTTGTATAAATGAAGAAGAAAGCTTCAGGAAGCCGGTCTTAATTTGACATGATATTGAGGATGGGGATTCTGAATATTTGTTACTTTAGATGCTCTTAATGGTCTATAAGAATCTTCATCTTCATGATCATCAGAAACTCAGAGGATTGTCACTGAAGTTGGTAGCAGGATTCTCAGTATTTCAAAGTTCCAAATGAATTATACTATGGCTTATTTCTTTCAAAATGTGGGTTGTTCTGAATTCATGTCAGGACGTGATTTCAAGCTTGCATGTATTTTGAATCAATTTGAGTTGAGCTTGATTGGATTTCGGACAAGTCACTCGGATCATTCAAACCAATCAACTTTTATTATATCTAAGGGGAAGAAAATTTAAAAGTATACGTAGGAGAACATTGAAATAACCACCAAGAAAATTTAGGTCAATTGTGCGAGCTACTACAGTAATTGTGAAAATAGAAAATAATCTTGGTGAAATAATTTGGATCAGCACTCCCCCCACATCCCCAACCCAGGAAAAAAAATGTTATTATTAGAGTAACCAGCATTGTTTCTTCTTTTTAGCTCATTTTGGGTTTATAATTTTACCCACCATAGAATAGAATTATGTCGATATCCAGTGTTTTGAAATTAAGCATGGATCTTGCTGACCCCCAAAATATTGCAGTCCCTTCACTAAAATTTGACAAAAATGCTCCAGCTCCACCAAAAACTTGACCAGCCCAGCCAACAAAGTGGAATCCTGTGGATATCACTTTTATGAGAGGAGAATGGCGACAAGCATTACTATCGGTAATGTTTCTCAATTGTTGATGGGTCACAGCAACATAAATTAAGGCTCTGAAAATTGCAGTTATTTATTTGATTACTTTAACAACAATTAGGCCTTTGTTTTTCAAATAAAAGGTAATTTTGTGCCATTATCAAGAGACACCCTTCCCTTTTGTATGTCATTATGGACTCTAGCAATGACCCCACACCGAGTTCACAGCACTTTTTTTTTCTGTTTTTACTTCTAATCAACCTTTAACTTACCATAATTAACTTGTTAACCTTGAATTTATAACATTTTAACATGCTAAATCAAGAAGGTCAAACTGTTGACTTGACTTGGGCTCAAGAAGTCCAAAGCCCAAAGAGAAAAGGGAGAAGATAGGCCCGGGGATGTACTGGTATTGAATCCAAAGGGGGCAGCAAAAGTAAAGTAGTTTTAAGGATGAGACGTGATTAGACCAATGCTGGCCCATATGCATCTCAGAGAAACAAAAAGGAGCCCAAGGACACTGTTATCATGACAAGTGACACATGGGGTTCAACCATGGCTCCATTCCAGTTAAGCTTCAGAGCCAGATATTGAATGAAATCTCATTATTTCAAGCAGGGGAGACAGTGCAGGAAAAAGGTGGCCTTCAAAACAAGCTCCCCCCAACTTGTGTCTGTCGTTGAGTGGTGAAAGGGGTCTCCATAAGGCTTTGCAAGTGTATCATTAATTTGACAGACATGAACTTCAGTTAAAAACTTTGAAAGGCCCAATCAAAACATTCTTGCTGTTTCAATGATACATATATGTGGCATGGAACTAATGGGATTTACTCATTAGAATCTGACAGATGATGTGAAAAAAAGGTTCACTGTGAAAAAAGTAAGCAATCATGTAAGAGTAAGACAATTAATTTTTCCTCTTCCTTGAGAGACCGTCAGCAAGCTCAAAGAGTAAGCATGCCTGTACAAGCATCTTAAAATAATATTAAAATTCTACAAAAATTTCTATTCTTCTATAATCTGTCACTAGGTTGATAACAATTGCAAATGTACAAATCAAAGCTTTAGAGCTAGATGGCATAAATGTACAGCATTTGGGGGACACACTTTGATCAATTGTAGCTTGGAAGAGAGCTTCCTAGGAGTTTCTCATCACAATCATGAGATTTTTGGAAGGGGTTATTATTTCATTACTGCTAGCTACAGCATCAACCAACTTAATTATATATTTCCTGTCAACATTTTATATACATAAACAATAGTATGGCAAAATAAATTTTTTAGTGTATGCATGGGATAATAAAAACGTTGGGATGGTATTGGATTTGGATTGCTGCTTCAAAGGGTTGCCATTCTTTGGTTATATGCTCCAAAATGCATGCCTAGTCCCATACTTTGGTTATCAAATGTAGTGATCCCTACTTCACTCGGGCAGAGTTAAAGAAAAGGAAGAAAATGGCCCAACCTCTCAAGGCATATAAAAGTAAAGGAGAGAAACTGTGAAGCTGGGGTTATCAATTCATTACCCCCGGGGGGGGGGGGGGGGGGAGGGGGGTGGAGAGAGAGAGAGAGAGGAGTATACTTTTTGACCAAGTTTCAGCACTCACCAAACTTCTTTTTCAGTTACTATTTGTTTATATATTCAGGAGGGAAAAAGCAGAAACAAAGATGGCAGAAGAAGAATATTGGCTTGAGGGTTGAGGGGGAGGGATCAGAATTCAGAAAGAGGAATCAAAAGGGGTGTCATGTCATAGTTTTAATATAGAGTAGGGGCTTGCACAGTTGCACTCTGCTGTGTTGTTGTGTGTTAGGTGAGCTATTCTATAAACACATCTTTATTGAAAGTAGCTAAAGAGTGAGGCCCCATTTCAGAGTGACAGAATGTAAATTCATCTTCAATTCCCCCTTTGCCAGATCCCACTTTTTGCAGGTTTCTGCTACAAAATCAATATATATAAATAAATAAATCCTTTTGTGAAAAAAAAAAAACTGAAACTTTTCCCTTTTTGGGTAGTCTCAATAGAGTTACCAACTAATCAATGTAACAGTACAAAGATTTTATATGATTGGGAGATTGACTCTTAGCTCTTTCAAGATAATAGACTAAACATTTATGTCCCTTCAGGCTTCAAATTGGAACCAATCTGTTTTTCTTTTTCTTTTCTTTTATGAAATTACATGTATCATTAATAATTATAATCATAATCAAATAACCTTTAAATATATATTAAGAAGAAATAAACGATCGAATCAAACCAACTATTAACAAATCAACAATATAATGGGACAAAACTCACACTTGATGTGATTTGAATACGGGACTCTTAGCTCTTTCAAGATAGTAATAGACTAAACATTTATGTCCGTTCAAATTGGAACTTATCTTAATAGCAATGAGAATTCTAGATGAGGATATAACTATACCGGCGGGAAAATGGAGCAAGGTCCCATATTAGGGACATGATTTGAATTATCAATTGACTAATATTAAATGAGAATCCTACCCTTAATGATAAAATCTTTTATGGGACCATAAATTGAATCAGATTTAACCAATTCTTGTGATTTATTTTAGCTTGTGGACATGGAAATAGGTATAGTTCATTATCATATTCAGACATAAGTTGATCAGTCTAACAACCTACGGAATGTGATCATTCATTAATGTTTTTGCAATATGTGGTATGTTAGACAATACTAGAGAGATCATTAATTTTATTATGCAGTAGTGGGAAAGAGAGCCATCAAGCAATTAGTTTTTCATGTAAGATTTCACTTGTAGACACCCTAATCTGTCAAAGGGATTATATTTGATTTTTGTTAAAAAATATAAAAATTAATTAAAAAAATGAAAAGGTTGAAAAAACAAAAAAAAAAAAGTGATTGAATTTAGGAAGGACTAAGTTGAGGAGTTTAAATTGAATTGAGTTTAGAGTTAAAAGTAAAAAAGGATGGAAATCCCGTCTGGTTTAGGGCTATCAAATTGAAGCCCTATAAATAAGGCCAAAAAACACATAGGGAAATGGACAGAAAACAGAGAGAGAAAAGCATAAAGCAAAAAAATTTGAGAGTTTTTTTGTGTTAAAAAAAAGGATTTTTCTAGAAATTTTTCTGGAAGTTTCAAATTTCAATTGAATTTTTCGACGTCGGTTGAATTTTTCGACCAGTTTCTCAGTTTTCGGTATCACATCTCCAGAAACCGTTGAACTTTTTGTTGAACTTTCAACGAAAAACTCAGATTTTGATAAGATTTTTCAGAATTCGATAGAATTCAATCGGTGTTCTTAAGGTTTAGAGAGAGAAAGAGAAAAAAGAAAGGGGGAAGGAGAGATCTAAAGCAAAAAGAAAGAATTTGACCTTTTATAGGGTCCTGAAACGACATCGTTTTAGAGTTAAGTGATTTCCTATGATCCATGCATTTTCATTCGGACAACCCGACCCGAGTGTTGACCCGCGTTTCAACCCGTTACCTAAACGTTGTTACTGAGCCGAGCCGTGCACCCCGAGTCGTGCTTTTCAACCTCCTCCTGTGTCTCAAGCCTAACCGTTTTAGCCGTTAAGTTAAGCCACTCCAAGATTTTTTTTATATATTTTGTTTTTTTTTTTGTTTTATCTATTAATATGATGATGATTATTATTGTTATTATTATTTTGCCAATTTATCTATAAATTAAATTAAAATCATTTATTCAAATATTCTTTAATTTTTAATGATCTTTTTAAAATAAAAATTTTAAAAAAATATTTTTGAGAAAAAGTTGAAAGTATCAATTTTTCTTGAAAATAAAATTTATAAAAAATATTTTTGAGGAAAAGTTGAAAGTATCAATTTTTTTTGAAAATAAGATTTCTAAAAAATATTTTTTGGGGAAAGTTGAAAGTATCAATTTTCCTTGAAAATAAGATTTCTAAAAAATATTTTTTGAAGAAAAGTTGAAAATATCAAATTTTCTTGAAAATAAAAATTTTTAAAAAATATTTTTGAGAAAAAGTTGAAAGTATCAATTTTTTTTGTATAAAAACATGAGTTTTTTTCTTATAAAACAAAAAAAAAATCTATA